GATGACATTGGATGGATGGGAACATGGAACTGGAATGACAGAAAGAGAACTGAGGGAGTGACAAGACAGGACAGACACCTCAATGTGGCAGAGTAGAGCTGCAAGAGGACAATAGAAAGGAACATCAGAGGAGGGAGAGTTGTGTTTTCGATTAGGGAACACATCACAGAAGTTCTTAGGATATTCCTGAGGGATCGTCAAGTTAAACTGTATGATTGGAACTGAGAAGTAAGAAAGGTGTGAGCACTTTGTTGGGATTGTGCATTAGGCCCCCCAGCAGTCAGTGGGAAATTGAGAAAATATGTAGGGAGATCACAGCTGTAAGTATGAGGATATTATTAAGCTGGACAGAGTTCAGAAGAGATTTACCAGGACGTTGCTGGGAATGGAGGGTTTGAGTTGTAAGGAGAGGCTGAATATGCTGGGACTTCTTTCGCTGGAGGAGTGACCTTAAAGAGGTTTATAAAATAATAAGGGATATAGAGAAGGTGCACGGCAGGTGCCTTTTCCCTAGGGTGGGATTTCAAGACTGGCGGGATTTTTTAATGTAAGACGAGAAAGATTTAAAAAAAAAGGGGCAATTTTTTTTTAAGCACAGTGTAGTTTGTGTGTTGGAATGAGCCTCCAGAGCAAGTGGTGGATGCGGGTACTGTTAGAACGTTTAAAAAGACATTTAGATGAGTACGTGAATAGGAAATGTTTAAAGGGATATGGGCCAAATACAGGCAGGTGGGACTAATTTAGTTTGGGATTATGGTCAGTGTGGACTTGTTGGACCAAATGGTCTGTTTCCATGCTGTATGACTCTGTCTCTAATAATAGGGTTGTAATAGTAGGGGATGTTAAACTTGCAAACATAGACTAGGACTGCCATCATGTAAAGGCTTAGTAGGGGAGGAATTTAATTGTATTCAAGAAAACTTTCTCAGTCACTATGCAGGTGGCCCTCCTAGTGAAGGGCCAAAGCTCAACCTCTTCTTGGGAAATAAGACAGAGCAAGTGACTAAAGTGTTAGTAGAGGAGCACTTTGGGACCAGTGAACGTAATTATTAGTTTTAAAATAGTTATGGAAAGAGATAGGCCTTATCCACAAGTTAAAAGTTCTAAATTGGGGCAAGGCCAATTGTGATGGTATTAGACAGGAACTTTCAAAAGCTGATTGGTGGGGGAAGGTGCTGCTTGCAGGTAAAGTGGGAGGCTTTCAAAAGCGAGATAACGAGAGTTCAGGGACAGCATGTTCCTGTAAGTGAAGGTCAACAAAAAGGAGGCATATGTCAGCTAGAGAACTTGGGGAAATAAATAGTGGTGTCTTGAAAAGAGTCTACATTATAGAAGAGGAGGTACTGGAGTCTTAAAAACACAGAGGTAGATAAATCCCTGGGACCTGATCAAGTGTATCCCATGAAATAGTGGGAAGCTAAAGATGAAAAAGTGGGGCCCCGAACGGTGATATTTATATCATTGACACACTCGGGTGAGGTGTCGGCAAGACTGGAGGATGGCTAATGTTGTCCCATTATTTAAAAAGGGCTGCAAGGAAAACCCAGTGAACTTTAGATCAGTGAGCCTGACATCAGTGGAGGGTAAATTGTTGGAAGGGATTCTGAGAGACAGGATCTACATGCATTTGGAAAGGCAAGGAATGATGAGGGATAGTCAGCATGGTTTTGAGCATGGGGAATCGTGGCAGTCCAACTTGATTGAGTTTTTTTGAAGAGGTGACCAAGAAGATAGATGAAGGCAGAGCAGTAAATGTTGTCTGCATGGACTGTAGCAAGGCCTTTGACAAGATGTTTCACATGGTAGACTGGTTACTAAGATTAGATCACAAGAGATCCAGGTGAAAACTAGCCAACTGAATACAAAATTGACTTGACAAAGGGTGGTGGTAGAGGATTATTGTTCAGATTGGAGGCCTGTTAACAGTGGTGTGCCACAGGGATCGGTGCTGGGTCCAGTGGTGTTCTGCATTTATGTAAACGATTTAGATGACTAGGAGGTATGGCTAAAAAGTTTGTGGATGACACCAAAATTGGTGGGATAGTGGACAGTGAAGAAGGGTATCTAAAATTGCAACGGGATCCTGATCAATTGGGCCAGTGGGCCAAGGAATGGCACATTGACTTTAATTTAGATAAATGTGAGGTGTGCATTTTGGTAAGACAAACCAGAGCAGGACTTAAGCAGTTAATGGCAGGATCCTGGGGAGTGTTGTCAAACAGTGAGACTTAGGGTTTCGGGTACACAGTTCTTTGAAAGTGGCCTCACAGGTAGACAGTTTGGTGAAGAAGGCGTTTGGCACACATTGGTCAGAGCATTGAGTACAAGTTGGGAAGTCACGTTATGGCTGTACAAGACATTGGTAAGGCCAGAGTTGGAGTGCTTTAATTCATTCAGGGGATGAGGGTGTCGCTGGCTAGGCAGCATTTATTGCCCGTCCCTAATTGCCCAGAGGGCAGTTAAGAGTCAACCATTTTGCTGTGGGTCTGGGGAGTCACATGTAGTCCAGACCGAGTAAGGATGGCAGCTTCCTTCCCTAAAGGGCATTAGTGAACCAGATGGGTTTTTCTGACAATCAACAATGGATTCACGGTCATCATTAGATTCTTAATTCCAGATATTTTATTGAATTCAAATTCCACCATCTGCTGTGGCAGGATTTGAACTCGGGTCCCCAGAACATTATCTAGGCCTCTGGACTAACAGTCCAGTGATAATACCACTAGGCCATCACCTCCCTGAGGTGCTAGCTTAATTCTGGTTGCCCTGCTATAAAATATAAATAAACTGGAAAGGGTGCAAAAAATATTTACAAGGATGTTGCCGAGACTGGAGAGTTTAGTTATAAGGAGAAGCTGGATAGGTTGGGACTGTTTCCCCCGGATCATAGTAGGCTGAGGGGTGACGTGTTTAAGGTGAATAGCTGTGGTCTTTTCTCCAGGGTGAGGGAGTCCAAAACTAGATGGCGTAGATTTTAAGGTGAGAGGAGCAAGATTTTAAACAGACGCGAGGGGCAATTTTTTTCACTCAGTGTTGTTCATAAATGGACGAGCTACCAGAGGAAGTGGTAGAAGCAAGTTCACTTACAACATTTAAAAGACATTTGGACAGGTACGTGGATCGGAAAGGTTTAGAGGAGTATGGTCCAAACGCAGGCAAATGGGCGTAGTTCATGTAGGAATTCTGGTCAGCATGGACGATTTGGACTAAAGGATCTGTTTCCATGCTGTAAGACACTATAACTACATCTTTTTTAAGATAACATGAGGCTGAAGACAGTAAGGTGATACACAGAATTTCAAAAGACATTCGATGAAATATTACACAATTGCTTGTCGGCAACATATTTTGGTAGACGAACTTGAAAATGATAAATAATGGTTATAATTCTAAAGGGACTGTAGGGAATGTTGAGAAAATGGTTAATAAGGCAGACGGGATCCTGGGCTTTATAAATAGCTGCACCAGCACAGTGAAAAGCAAACAACTAATAAAGCACTTGAAGGTATTGGAGAGTTTACAGAAAAGATTCATGGGAGGGGTTCTGAATTTGAGAGGTTTAGGTCACGTGGATGAGTTGCTGAAGCTAGGGCTGTTCTTGGAAGCAAGAAGATTGAGAAGAATTGCCAGAGGTGTTCAAAATCTCGAGAGGCCTGGGCAGAGTAAATGGAGAGCGACTTCATCTGGTGGAAGGGTCTGGGTCCAGAACAAGAAGACATCGATTTAAGGTGACTATCCAAAGGAGTCAAACAAGCTGAGGGGAAAGCTTAAAAGCACAGCGAGTAGTTCAGATCTGTAATGCCTTGCCTGTGTGTGTGGTGTATTTGTGGCTTTGGCAAGGGAGTTGCATATTTTCTGAAACTAGAAACTATTGCAGGGATTAATATATTTTCTAATCTGCCTTCTCAAAGATGTCATTATGGATGACATTACAGAGCAAGTGGGACGTGAACCCAGGCCTTCTGGCTCAGAGGTGGGGACACTACCACTTGTGCCACAAGGACATGTTGTGTAGAGTTTAGGTGAAACTTCACTTATTAGCTTGGACCCGTTTAGAATTTCATGCAACTGTTGTACAATTAACGGGAAGAGGAGCGTTGCTTCTGTAGGGACCTAGCACAGACATAAATGGCTGCCTCTATACTACAGTTATGCAGTGATTGTCTCGTGCACTATTAGATAAAATTTATTTTTTATTTTCTTTTAGCTAACACCATACATTAGCAGCCAACTAAGAAACAGTCACCTTGAAGCTTTGTGTTGCAGTGTCTGGTCCCTACCTCTGGGTTAATAGGTATGGGTTCATGCCCAAACATCTTTATTTTTTAAAGAGAGAAACAATGAATAGAATAAATCTGGTCTGTTCCCACACAGTTCAGAGGTTGGTATTGTGGTTGATGTCTGTCAGAGTATGTTTTGAGATGTACTACTCCTGTTACAAGTTGAGTGCTAAATACTTAGTGGTTTGTTTTACTTGGATTTAAAGACCAAAAGAGTCTTGCTCTCTGCACCAACCTCTTATTCTCGCTAATTTCTAAACTTCCCATGCTCTTGAACTTGCACTTTGTTAAAGAATAAGCAACCATGACTTTGGTTAAAGTTGCAAGCTGCGGTTATCCTCTTGTCCCTTAGCTTGGCATACTGTGCCTGTTGGAGTTTTTCCATTCAGCGACGAGGGAGAATTGCTGTATCTAATCCTGTCCTGTACCTACACAACCAGAGTTTAATGGGATAGTTTTAGTGTAGCAAGAGCTTTACTGTATTTAGACCAATGCTGGACCTGCCTTGGGAGTGTTTGAAAGGGACAGTTTAGCGGGAGCTGTAATCTATAGCTCCCATTTCTGTCTCTGAACAGTGTGGGAGAAGGAGTTTTGTTGCATTTTTCGATCAGAGGCAGGAGAATGTAATATTTTCACCAGTTTGAGGTGAATGTTTAGCAGATTTGTTTGTTTCAATTCTTGGTTGCAACTTAGGTAATTATTTCCTGTTCCTTTTTATAGTAAATGAACTAATCCTGAAACAGAAGCAGAGATCTGAAGAAAAACGACTAAAACTTGAACATCCAGTAAGTACAAATTGCCATTATCATGTCAAGTGCCAAAAGGAAAAGCTCTGAATATGTGGAGTTACATTAGCAGAATGGATTGAATGACTGCCCACTGGACAGGGGGCAGAAGTTAACGGAAGCTGCTCACACTATTCGGAATTGGGAAGGTGGTACCATTGGTCACAGTTACAGAAATTGTTTGCACTTGGGTATGGTGTTAAAATTGGCAGATGACATAAATGTGAAGTATATTGTTGATGGGGAGGACTACACCAAAATACAGGAAGATGTAAACAGGATTATGCAGGTCATGGTATTCCTCTGACTGCAAGGTGATGCTGCTCGTGTACAATAGAAGTCCCTGTGACCATTGGATTATCTTTAAAAGTTTTGGTATTTCTTGATTAATATTCTGTGTTTCTTAGAATCCCTACAGTGTGGAAACAGGCCCTTCAGCCCAACAAGTCCACACCAACCCTCAGAGCATCTCACCCAGACCCATCCCCCTATAACCCAACCAATCTACACATTCCCGGACACTATGGGCAATTTAGCACGGCCAATCCACCTAGCCTGCACATTTTTGGACTGTGGGAGGAAACCGGAGCACCTGGAGGAAACCCACGCAGACACGGGGAGAATGTGCAAACTCCACGCAGACAGTTGCCCAAGGGTGAGATTGAACCCAGGCAGCTGGCACTGTGAGGCGGCAGTGCTAACTACTGAACCACCGTGCTGTTTCTGTAGACTCCTTGTGTCTTTATTTTCTGATTGGGATCATCCTTGTAAATCTTTTATGCATCTTCTCCAGTGCTTTTCCTGTCCAGATTCTCAGATCTTTGCCAAGGACCAAAGAATTTACATATGGATTGTTCAGCTTCACAGTCACTGGTTAGAGGCAGCAGCTGATATCAAATAGCAGGAAAGAATAACTGACAGCTTCCAGGCTTTGTTACTTTGCAGAGATATAAAAGCAAACTGTGCATCCTTCAGTCTGGAGACCTTCTGCCCATGCATCATTCACACACCAACTGCCTATCACAGAGCTGAAGTCAAGCTAATGATCTCTGGCATCCATAACTGGTCCCAATTGTACCTACCAATCAGCAGTCTGTTGCTGGCTAAATCTCACTTTACCCACACACCCTGTGCCATGGTGTCTTGTCCCCCCTCCTTCACTGCTTGAACAAAGCAACTGTGTAAACACAACTGCCAATGAGCTGCCGTAACTTGTTTTTAAAAGTTCAACAATTCCTTTCCCAGTTCTTGTTTTTTAAAACTGTCATCTTTCAATCTGCATCAAAAGAAACACAAAAATATTGGTGCTGCTGTTCTTGGTGTTCTTATAAATAATAGCTGATGGTAAGGGGGATCCTCCAATTTATTGTAATAGAAGGGTGACATTGTATGCAGACTTGGTAGTGACTGTTGATCTGCTTTCTGTTTTAGAATGGTCACCGATGGCAGGCCATTCAGGATGTGCTAATCACAGATCAGGATAGTTTGGATCTCCCGAATGTAAACCTCATGCTGGAGCTGATAATGCAGAAGAAGCAACAGCTGGAAGCAGTGAGTACTCTAGTGCCATCTGAGTATAACATGGTCAGGAGGTGGGAGACAGGCATGGCAGACAGATAAAACTGGGGCAAAACATAGTTCGACCACGCCAAAGTGTTTCATTTCATGCTGTGTTACTGGTTCACATTCACCACACATCACCTTCTGTCTTCTGGATAAGATAGATACCTTTTGGCCTTTGGTGTCTGACTTCCTTTAGCTCAACTGACTTCAAATCAAGTTTTCTTTTTATCCGTCACATTGTTCGTCTCATCCTCAACCATTTCTGAGGAGAGGCAGTAGCCGCTGGAGTGGGAACATTGGAGCAGGAGGAGGTCGTTCAATATTTCAAGCATGCTCCACCATTCTAGATCATGTCTGATCATTATCTCAATACCATATTCTCAAGCTATTCCCTTATCTATCCAGTGATATTACTCTCTGGAAATCTGTCTGTTTCTGCCTTGGATTTAAATGTTTGAGCCCTCTGAGGTAGAAAATTTCAACGATTCACTCACCCTCAGTGAAGAAATTCTCATTTTGGTCCTAAATGATCTGGGACTCACTCTGAGATGGGCTTCCAGGTTCTAGACCTACAGCTAGGAGGAATCCAACCTTGTGCATCTACTCTGTTGAGACTAAGAATTATGTAGTTTTCTATGAGATCACCTTTCACTCTTCTAATTTCTAGAGAATACAGGTTCAGGCTTCTCAATCTGTCTTCAGAAGGATGTCCTGTCTATCATTAATTGCTTTGGGAGAATGTGGTGGTGAACGTTATCTTGATTGCTGCGGTCCATGTTGCGTAGGGACACTTTCTGTGCTGTTAGGCAAAAAGTTCCATTGATAATTATGGAACAGTTGTAATATTCCAAGTCGGGCTGGTGAGTCGCTTGCAAGGGAACTTGCAGCTGGGAGTATTCCCATGTATATGCTGTTCTTGTCCTTCTAGATGGTAGATGCCACTAGTTTGAAAAGCGCTGTCAAAGGAGCCTAGGCAAGTTGCTGCAGCATATTTTTAGATGGTACACAATGCTGTCACTGCCCATAAGTGGTGAAAAGAGTAAATGTTTGTGAATGAGGCACCTAGTCAAGCAGATAAATTTGGTGTTCTTACATGTTGTTAGAGCTGCACTTAGCAGGCGAATAGACAGTATTCCATCACACTCCTGACTTGTCCTGTAGATGGTAGATAGGTGTTGGAAGGTGATTTACAGGGTTTTGAGCCTCTATATTTATATTCTAATCTAATTCAGTTTCTAGTCTATGGTAAATCCTCAATTTTGAAACTGGGGGATTCAGTGATGTAATGCCATTGACTATCAGCAGGGCGTTGTTAGATTCTCTTTCATTGAAGATTGTTAGTGTCTGACACTTGTCATGGGAATATTACTTGCCATTTAGCAGTTCAAACTTAGTTATTGCCAAGGTCTTGCTTTTGTGGACACTGACTCTCTCAGTATCCGATGAGGAATCGTGAATGGTGCTGAATATTATGCAGTCATAAGAACGAGAAACCCCTCGACCCTACTCCACCTTTGATTTGATCTCACCTCAGCATTAACCTCACTTTCCTGCCCACTCAGACTACAAATTAAAAGCCTGTCAATCTCAAATTTATTCAGAGTACCAGTGCCAGCTGTACCATGGGGTAATGAATTTCACCGAATCACAGCCCTTTAAAAGAAGTCATTCCTCCTCAACTCTGTTTTAAATCTGCCACTTTGCTGATTTAAAGTGTTAGGCTAAGATCCCCACATGTGATCTTATGATGGACAGAATGTCATTGATGAAGCAAGTCTATATTGCCTCTCCCTATCCCTTCTGCCAGAATGCATCACCTATATTAAATTCCATTTGCCACATGTTTGTCAAACTTGCTAGCGCCTCAATGTCCTGTTACTGTCAATAGCATCATCCTAACTGCTATTCTTAGCGTCATAACATTGGAAATCTTACTCTGAGTTTCAAAAGACAAGGCAATGAAACAACATTGTCTACTATTTTCCAGGCTGAGAAACAACCATTTAACACATTTCATTGCTCTGGCCTTCAACCAATCTGTTACCTGAGCTGATACTGACCACCTCATTCCATGATCCTTGAATTTGCTCAGCAGCTATTTATGTGGCACTTTGTCAAATCCTTCATTTAGATTGATCAAGTGCAGATCACCATGCCAAAGAGACTCAAATTGCCAACCAATCAGCAGTCTTTTCTCCTGTAGTATAAATTGTCATCATTGGAAATTCAGTGTTCTTGCATTTGTCCCGGCGACTGCAAATGTAAGAAGCTTTTGCAACATGTCTGTGTTTTCAGCACTATTTTACAAAACACTCCGGTCTCTCAGTTAACCTGAATCTCTCCAAGTGCTTGTCGATTTTTTTTTGTGTGGAAACTTTACTCACTGCTGAATTCAAACTAACTGCCTCTCTCATATTTTCTGCTCCTTCTCCAATTCCAGGGAAGATTGCAAGATTAAAACACACCATTCTCCTATCTCCACCTCGACTTTCGTCAATCCCGGAATGTAGACCACCCAGAGCAGGCGACTTATCACATTCACCCCCCCTTCATACCTCACCGTTACTTGCTTCCCATCAATTTTCACTTTATCCATGACTACTACTACTCCCCATTCTGCAAATTAATTTGTGAACACTTCTTTCTTCACAATCCTCTCATCTACTCCAGCCCAACTCTTCAGGTTTCTTCCGTTCTAGCTTTTTTGACATTCTAGTTACTCCAGTGTATATGTTCTGACCTGATTTCTGATTTCAGATTTCCAGCACCCAACAGGACTTTCAGTGGAGTTGATGTACAGATTGGGCATCTTCTGAAGGAATGATGGATTGGGCTTAAGTGGCTGAATGGCCCTTTTTTGTTTCTTGCAGCCACCTTGTCTGTTTGGTGCAGTGCTGCATTTGTCCTCCAAGTGTGGAAGCATCTGGGTCCCCCCCTTTCAAATTCCTCAAACTTAAAGTAGTCCCTGACAGGGCCAGATCGCATTGGGAAGTGATGTATGAACCAGTTGTTGCCGTTTGTAATATCTACATCCTTGTTATTTAGGAATCCCAGGCAGCCCAGTTGCAGATCCTAATGGAGTTTCTTCAGGAGGCAAAAAGGAATAAGAAGGAGGTTGGTTTTCACGTTTTTTTTAATATATGTTATGCCTTTTTATCTACAACAAGCTTACGGCTAACTTGAGCAGAAGTCTGCTAAGAGTTGTTGCTGTTGACATGAACTATGGCTTGGTTGATATTCTCTGGTCTTTCAGTCAGGAGGTTGCAAATTCAAATCCTATTGTACAATCTTTTCAGTACAAAATACAAGCAGATGCCCTCAGCAATGGAAGGAGTCTCTTTTTTGATGAGAGGTTAAACTGAGTGTCTCAGGTTTTCATTGCCACTAATGCAAAAAGAGCAAGAAGCATAGATGTCCCTTAGCTAGAAGAATTTTAAGGTAATCGCATAACACGGTGCTGTTATTGGGCTCCCGACTGTGCCCAGTTTAGCCGTTTCCTACATTGTGACTGCAAGTGTGGGAATAACACATTTTAGGGAAACCTCATTTGAAGGAATTCTTATCAAAGGTTAACATTCTCTGACCTTCTTTTACAGCAACTGGACCAGTTACAGAAAGAGCTGAATGTTCTTGAAGAAGACATCAAACGAGTGGAGGTTTGTAATATTAATTTATTAGTAGGATTGATTGATGAAGGCATCTCAGGTCTTTATAGAAAGTGCAACTAGTTCAGGCTGGTCAGGTGGTGTTCCTTCGATCAGAAATGAACCTACTGTAGTTGGACAGACATAGTCTCACTTTCCTCAGAGCTATTCATTTTGCCTCATCTTTGCAGCTTACATTCACACTTACTTTTACATTGTCAGCAAACTTTGTTCCTGTCTTTCTATGTCTAAGTTATTAATATAGGTTGTATGTAGTTGAGGCCTCAGTACTAATCTTAGTCCCACTGCATTAGTCACATCCTCCCTACTTGCACATATCCCTTATGAGCCTAATCAAAAAGAAAAAGGAAGCATTTATCAAGGCTAGGAGGCTGGGAACACACGAAGCATGGGTGGAATACAAGGAAAGTCGAAAGAAACTTCAGCAAGGAGTCAGGAGGGCTAAAAGGGGTCATTAAAAGGCATTGGCCAACGGGGTTAAGGAAAATCCCAAGGCTTTTTTTATACATATGTAAATCACAAGAGGGTAGCCAGGAAGAGGGTTGGCCCACTCAAGGACAGGGAAGGGAATTTGTGTGGAGCCAGAGGAAATGGGCGAGGTGTTAAATGAGTACAATGCGTCAGTATTCACCGTAGAGAAGGACTTAGTGAATGATGAGTCTGGGGAAGGATGTGTAGATAGTTTGGGTCATGTTGAGATCAAAAGGGAGGAAGTATTGGGGGCCTTGAAAAACATTAAGGTAGACAAGTCCCCAGGGCCTGATGGGATATACCCCAGAATACTGAGAGAGCCAAGGGAGGAAATTGCTGGGGCCTTGAGGAAAATCTTTGTATCCTCACTGGCTACAGGGGAGGTCCCAGAGGATTGGAGAAGAGCCAATGTTGTTCCTTTGTTTTAGAAAGGTAGCAAGGATAATCCAGCTAATTACAGGCCTGTGAGCCTTGCGTCAGTGGTAGGGAAATTACTGGAGAGGATTCTTTGAGACAGGATTTACTCCTACCTGGAAATCAATGCGCATATTAGCAAGTGGCAACATGGTTTTGTGAAGGGGAGGTTGTGTTTCACTAACTTGGTTGAGTTTTTTGAGGAAGTGACAAAGATGATCGATGAGGGTAGGTGGATGTTGTCTACATGGACTGCAGTGAGGCCTTTGACAAGGTCCCTCATGGCAGGCTGATACAGAAGGTAAAGTTGCACAGGGTCAGAGGTGAGCTTGCAAGATGGATAAAAACTGGCTAGATCGTAGAAGACAGAAGATAGCAGTGGAAGGGTGCGTTTCTGAATGGAAGGCTGTGACTAGGGGCGTTCCTCAGGGATCAGTTGGGACCTTTGCAGTTGTAATTTATATAAATGATTTGGAGGAGAATGTAACTGGTTTGATTAGTAAGTCTGCCGATGACACAAAGTTTGGTGGAATTGCAGATAGCGATTACGACCGTCAAAGGATACAGCTGGATATAGATTGGTTGGTGACTTGGGCAGAGAGACGGCAGATGGAGTTTAATCCAGAAAAATATGAGGTAATGCATTCTGGAAGGCCTAATCCAGATGGAAAATATACAGTAAATGGCAGAACCCTTAAGAATACCGATAGACAGAAGGATCTGAGTGTACAGGTACACAGGTCACTGAAAGTGGCAATGCAGGTGGAGAAGGTAGTCAACAAGGCACATGGCATGCTTGCCTTCATCAGCCGAGGCATTGAGTTTGAAAATTGGCAGGTGATGTTGCAGCTTTATTGAACCTTAGTTAGGCCACATTTGGAATATTGTGTTCAATTTTGGCTGCCACACTACCAGAAGGCTGTGGTGGCTTTGGAGAGGGTACAGAAAATATTTAGCAGGATGTTGCCTGGTATGGAGGGCATTAGCGATGAGGAGACATTGGAGAAACTTGGGTCATTCTCATTGGAACAATGGAGTTTGAGGGGCGACCTGATAGAGGCCTACAAGATTATGAAGGGCATGGACAGACTGGACAGTCAGAAGCTTTTTCCCAGGGTGGAAGAGTCAGTTACCAGGGACCATGGGTTTAAGGTGTGAGGGGCAAGGTTTAAAGGTGATGTACGAGGCTAGTTTTTTTTTTTTACACAGAGGGTGGTGGGTGCCTGGAACTTGCTGCTGGGGGAGGAAGTGGAAGCAGATGCTTATAGAGACTTTTAAAGGGTATCTTGACAAATATGTGAATAGGATGGGAATAGAGGGACACGGTACCCAGAGGGTAGGGTGTTTTAGTTGTGACAGACAACATATTGGTGCAGGCTTAGAGGGCTAAAGGGCCTGTTCCTGTGCTGAAATTTTCTTTGTTCTTCTTATCCTGCTGTTTACGAGCTCATGTTGGTATAGTATTATTACCCCCAACTTTTCTTGTGTAGCACCTTATCGAATGACCTTTGGTAATCCAAGTTTACTCGTCTACTGGTTCCCCTTTATCCACTCCAAGTTATATCATCAAGAAACTCAAATAGATTTGTCAAACGTATTTCCTCTTGTAAAGCCATAGGGATCGAAGGTGTCATAGAACCCCTATAGTGTGGAAACAGGCCATTCGACCCAACAGTCTACACCGACCAAGCCTCTGACAAGCGTCCCACTCATACCCATGCCTCTTCTCTATCCCTGCATTTCCCATGTCTAACCCAACTAGCCTGGACATCCCTGAACACCATGGGCAATTTAGCGTGGCCAATCCACCTAACCTGCACATCTTTGGACTGTGGGAGGAAACCCATGCAGACACGGGGAGAATGTGCAAACTCCACACAGACAGTCACCCAAGGGTGGAATCGAACCTGGGTTCCTGGCGCTGTGAGGCAGCAGTGCTAACCACTGAGCCACCATGCCGCCTGTGTCATCAGCAGGGCTATTAAACAATGTTTACTCACTATGATATGTTTGAGTTCCAGCCAGCCCATTCAACTTCTGACATGGCAGCATGGTGCCTCAGTGGTTAACACTGTTCCCTCACGGCGCCCGGGTCCTAGATTTAATTCCAGCCTTGTGTGACTGGGGTTTGCTCGCATGTCTGTATGGGTTTCCTCCCATAGTACAAAGTCGTGCAGCTTAGGTGGATTGGCTATGATAAATTGTCCTGCAGTGTCCAGTTTTGTGTAGGCTAGGTGGGTTAGTTACGGTAAGCGTGGTGTTACAGGGAGAAGGTAGTGTGATGGGATGTTCTTTGGAGGGTCGGTGCACACTTGATGGGCTGAACAGCCTCTATCTGTACTGTAGGGATTCTATGATTCCGTTCCACAGTTATAGGCTTTCAACCGATTATGGACAGATGAATTGAACTTCTGAGGTGCGGTGAGTGTGGCTGTCCTTGACATGAAGGCCGCATTTGACCTAGAATAGCATCAAAGAGTTCAAATAAAACTGGTTAGTAGGGGTTCGGTGGGGCAGAAGGCATAATGGGGTTAAATGAATACTTGGCATCTTTCTGTACCAAGGAAACAAATGAAAGAGGAGGTAATTAACGTACTGGAAGCATTTAAAATTGATGAACTATTGAATAGGCTGTCTATACGTAAAATTGTTAAGGTACCAGAACCAGATCGGATGAGTTGAAGGATACTAAAGGAAGCGACCGTGGAAATTGCAGAGGCACAGGCAATAATTTTAGTTTTCCTTTGATTTAGTGGGGGTGCCAGGGAACTGAAGAATTGCAAATGTTATGCCTTTGTTCAAAAAAAGGGCCAAAGATAAGCCCAGAAACTACAAGCCATTTACAGTATTTTCAACTATGGTGATGGGGAAGCTTCTGGGAAGAGTAATTCTGGACAAAGTTCTTTGATAAAGTGCTGCACAACCTTTCTCCAGTCTAAGAAGCATCCATTAACCACTGCTTCTTTTTTCCTGTCAGTCAACTAATTCTGCATCCAGGTTACCATTGTTCTTTTTATTCCATGACTGAGCAGTCACTTAAATTTGAAAAAGCTGTAGAATTCAGTACTAACACACAGCTGTCTTCCAGGGACTGATATTTAATGAGACGACTGGCCTGTATTCTCCTGTCAGTGAATCGACTCACGTGCCGAACCTGGACAGCACTGTGCCACAGTTTGAAGCGCCATCTCCTTCACACAGGTACTAGTCACCAGCCTTCTCAGTGCGTATTTCAATCAGCAACTCAAGTAGATTTCCAGTTTCAGAAAACCAAGGAGGACTGATTTGTTTAAATATATCTCACCCAATGGAATCTCCCTCAACCTTGCATGGAACAGTGTCCTGCCAGGTATTCACATATTATTTGTCCTTTAAGGGGAACAGTTACTTTCTGTTCACCCTGTCCAGGTACATCATCGTATCTACCTCAACCGCTGTCAACTCAAAACAACCCAAGTTTATCCACCCTCTCTTCCTAGATAAAATGCTCCATCACAGGCAGCATCCAGGTGAATCTCCTCTGCACCCCTTCCAGTGCAGTAACATCTTCCCTACAGTGTGCTGACCTGCACATAGTACAGATGTTACCTAAAAGTTTTGACAGAACCTACCTGCTCCTATAATCTATGCCACAGCTGACAAAAGCAAGAGCATTCACAGAAATTTCTGGAAAAACTCAGCAGGTCTGGCAGCATCTGTGGAGAAAAAGCAGAGTTAATGTTTCAGGTCCAGTGACCTCTGTTGTAAAAATCTTAGGATGGGTCACTAGACTTGAACCATTAAATCTGCTTTCTCTCCACAGATGATCCCAGACCTGCTGACTTTTTCCAATGACTTGGTTTCTGATTTCCAGCATCCGCAAATCTTTCAGGTTTTTTTTTGTAGTGATAAAGGCAAATGTTGCCTATGCTGCCTGAATGACTTGATTAACCCCTGTCCTGTCTTAAGGGGTCCATTGGCAAGCACCTCAAGATCCCTCTGTTTCTTGGAGCTTCCCAGCTTCCTGCCATTCATTTCAGTCATAGAGCCTACAGCACAAAAAATGCCCATTGCTCAGGCGTCAATCAAAAGCAGCCACCTATTTTAATTCCATTTGCCAGCACTTAGTCCATGGCCTTGTATGCCTTGGCATCGCAATGCACATCTAGATACTACTTCAATGTTCTGAGGGTTCTTACCTCTATCACCCTTGCAGGCAGTGAGTTCCACATTCCCACCAGCCTCTGGGTGAAAACGTTTTTCCTCACATCTCCTCTAAACCTTAAATCTATTCCCACTTGTCACTGATCTCTCTATCGGGGGAGAAGTTTCTTCCTGTCTACCTTATCTATGTCCCTCATAATTTTAATCATTTCTGTCAAGTCACCTTCTCTGATGTAAGGAAAACAGCCCCAGTCTGTCTAAAACAAAAATGAAAATTGCTGGAGAAACCCAGCAGGTCTGGCAGCATCTATGGAAAGAAAGCAGTCAACATTTAGAGTTCAATGACCCTTCTTCATAGATCAGTTAAGAAGGGCAAAGGAAGCAGGGCATGTTTCACATTCGCAGCATCTGCAGTTCTTTTGTTTTATCCCAATTTGTCTAATATCTTCAGAACTGAAACTCTCCAGTCCAGGCAACATTGTGGTAAATCTCTTCCACACCCTCTCCAGTGCGGACACATCCCTCCCATAATGTCGATTCCAGAACTGCACACAATACTCTAACTGCAGCCTTGCCAGCATTATACATTGTTCCAGCATAACCTCGCTAATCTTAAATTCTCTGCCATGACTAATAAAGGCAAATATCTAAATGTCGCCTTAATCACTTTATTCACATGTCCTGATATATTAAGAGACTGGTGTATATGCACACCAAGTTTCCTTCATCCTCTGTGCTTCGTAAGATCCTACCATTCTTCATTGTTCCCATTTGACCTCTGTTGATTGTAATTATATAAATAATTTGGAGGAGAATGTAGGTGGCCTGATCAGTAAGTTTGCTGAAACATGAAGATTGGGGGAGCTGCGGATAGTGAGAAGGATTGCCAGAGGATACAGCAGGATATAGATAGGCTAGAGACTTGGGCAGAGAAATGGCAGGTGGACAAATGTGAGATGATGCATTGTGGAAGATCTAGTGCTGGAGAGAAGTATACAGTAAATGGCGGAACCCTTAGTAGCATCAGCATATAGAGGGATCTAGGCAAACAGATTCACAGTTCCCTGAAAGTGGCAACACAGGTGGATAAGGTGATCAAGTAGGCATATTGCATACTTGCCTTTATCGGTCAGGGCATAGGGTATAAAAATTGGCAACTATGTAGAACTTCAGTTAGGCCACATATGGAATATTGTTTACAGTTCTGGTCGCCACACTACCAGAAAGATGTAGAGGCTTCGGTGAGGGTACAGAAGCAGTTTACCAGAATGTTGCCTGTATTGGAAGGTATTAGCTATGAGGAGTAATGGACAAACTTGGTTTGCTTTCGCTCGAACATTGAAAAGTAAGGAATGATCTGATATTTTTAAAAATTGAGAGGCATGGATAGAATGAATAATCAGAGTCTTTTTCCCAGGATAGAATTGTCAATGACTAGGGGAGAAAGGTTTATGGTAACAGTAGATAAGTTTTTAAAGAAGCCACCACATCACGCTATACTTTATTCTTTATTGTTTCACGATCCCTCAAACCCATTTCCCACCTATTCATTCCATCTCACACTCTTTCCAGACACCTGCCTAATTGTCACTTGTTCTTAAGTATGCTGTGTTTTTAAAATCCTTACTCATGGGGCATTAATTCACCAGGATTCCTTTCTGGTTGACAATGTCCTGCCTTCCATGCTTACAGTTGACTTTTTCCATTTCATTTGTAAACTGTTTTCTAAGCCTCCACTCAATCAATTGACTGAATCAATTTTGTCAAATTGCCAAACCTGACATCATTGAAAATGTTGTCAACTCACTGCATCTTTCTTAGCAAAGAAATCTAATTTCCTCAGCTTTTCTCTTTCATTTTTATGTGGCTGGTGTGATGGAGTCACTCATAATGTAGCCTGTGTTTGCTGCTGTGTCTCTGTATAGATAGTATCAATCGATCTTGGAGTGCGGCAGGGTTTGGGCTGTGGGGATTGGGTATTCGGCTCTGTTCAGGAGTGAGTGGGGAATGTGGGGATTTTGAAGTGCGCTGGTTGTTTATAACTTGGGGCTGTGTGGGGATTTGGTGGAGAGCTCTGTTCAGGTTACTGTTCTCTCTGAATCATGGTGTGGATTTCCTGTTCTTAATACAAGGAAAATGACTTGAAACAGAAATTCTGCATACTTGATTGTTGAAGGTCAACATGAAAAGATTAGATTAACGTTTATTTAAAGTTTTCAAGAAGATGTTTATTGTCAATGACTGTCACCTTCTACATCATCCAGTTCAAACAGCCTTTTAGAAGAAGCAGACCCCTTGAAGAGACAGTAAGGACTGCAGATGCTGGAAGTCTGATTCAATAAATGTGGAGCTGGAAAAGAACAGCAGGTCAGACAGCATCCGAGGAGCAGGAAGGTCAACGTTTCTGGTCAAGACCCTTCGTCAGGATAGCCCTGATGCTGTCTGACCTGCTGTGCTTTTCCAGACCCCTCAAAGAAGTGACTTATGAAACAAGAGTAGTATTAGGCCATTCATCTGTCAGCCCTGCAGCACCAGGCTGATCTGGTTTTGTTCCAAATTCTACATTCCCTTCAAGGGACACAGCTTGACAGCACAAAAATAAACCCCTCAGCCGGTCATGGCCATGTCGGTCATCAAGCACCAATCTACTCAAACGCCATTGTCTCGCAGTTAGCTGTAACCTTGTATGCTATGGTGCTTCAAGTGTTTGTCTGAATACTACTAAAATGTTGATGGTTCCTAACTCTACCACCACCACCCTTTCAGGGTGAGTGGTGATGCACTTTGGAATAAGTAACAAGATAAGGGAGTACACTTTCAAGCAGCAAGTTCCACATACCCACCATCCTTGTTGAAAATATTCTTTAAATTTTAAACCTCTTACACCTTACATTTAATCCATACCTCCTCATTATTGATCCCTTTATTAGGGAGCAATGTTTCTTCCCATCTACCCTATAAAGGCCCTTAACAATTTTGTATACCCCAGGATCCCCCATCAGCTTTCTCTGCTTTGAGGGTAACAACCTAGTCTTTCTTTGCGGTTCATGTACAAGGATTTAGTTGGTGATCTTGTGTCTCGTAGAGCCCTGTAGCAAATCTAAATAACCTGCTTAATGAATACTTTGTGGCTGTGTTTATGAAGAGAATGATGTCGAACTGTTGTTGAAAATGGATATGGTCAAGGTTTGAAAATTTAGTGATACATCCTTTTGAAAAGGAATGACATGCTGAGTGGTTAAGCCACCTGATTTGAATGATGAACTTTAAAATGTTACTAAATGAAGGGCATGGGCATGCCATGGGTTTCCAACCATTCCAAGATACAAGAGGATTGGGTAGTGGCCTTATTCAAGAAAGGTTGTGAGGCCATTCCAAGTTATAACAGGCTAGTTACTTAAAAATCGATGATGAGCAAATTTTCAGACATTCAAAAAAAAAATCGAAGAAAATTCCAGCAGGCTTAAAGTTTTGAGTGAATTGAGGAGAACCAGCATGGATTGTACAACGCAGATTGTTTGACTAATCTACTTGAGGTTTCTTAGGGAAATGTGGAGGAGGTTGCCAAAATGGATTTTAAGAAAGTCTTTGACAAAGTACCACATGAAAGGCTGGCTCACAAATTGGAGGTAGTGAATAACAAGGATCATTGTTAGCTTGGATTTTAAAAAAAAATGCCTTAGTGGAGATTTAAAATGATTGATTGCTTTTCAGATTGGAAGATGGTGTTTCCTATGAGTCAGTCCTAGGATAACATTTTTTCTATAATTTACTTGGACATTAGCATAGAGATTAACACTTCAAAATTTGCCACCGGTACCAAGCTTGGGCATGTGATGCTCTGAGATTGATGCTAGTGGAATACAACAGAACGTGGATAGGTGGATGGAGTTTAATGCAGAAAAATATTTGTATATTAATTGAAGGAAGTGGGAGACAGTGACACTGTTTGAAAGAATTTGCAAAAACTGAGGGACCTGGGGATTCATGTGCAATGAATTTAGAAGTTATTTGAAAGAGTGATTAGCTAAATTATCAAATAAAAACCGAAAGAACTGTGGATGCTGTAAATTAGGAACAAAAACAGAAGTTGCTGGAAAAGCTCAGCAGGTCCGGCAGAATCTGTGAAGGAGAAAGATCAGTATTAACGTTTCGGGTCCGGTGACCCTTCCTCAGAACTGGAACCGAAACATTAACTCTGATTTTTTTCTTCAGAAGCTGCCAGACCTGTTGAGCTTTTCCAGCAACTTCTGTTTTTACAGCTGAATTATCAGTTCTAGAAACCACTGAGGTTGAACTGATTGGCCTGTAGTTGCTGGACTAACCTTTTGGTAATTTTTTTGAACAAGGGTTGAAATTTTCGCAATTTTTCAGTCCTCTGGCACCACTCCTGAGTCTAAGGATGACTGAAAAATTATAGCCAGTATCCCTGCGGTTCCCACCCTTGTTTCCTTCAGTAGGTACAGACACCGATTAAATTCCTCTACCTTATCAACTAAATCCTTCTCGTGTCTCACTACCTCCTCTTTCATCATGGCCTGGTGAAGGCTGTATTTTTCCTTGGTAAAGAAAGGTACAAAGTATTCATTTAATACCTCAGCTATGCCTGCTACCGCCACACACAAAATACCCTTCTTGGTCCTGAATGAGGCCTGATCTTTTCTTTACCACCCTTTGAGGAACATTGGAACAGGAGTAGACCATTCAGGTCTTGACCCATCATATTAGATCATGGTTGATCATATCAATGCCATTTTCCTGCACTGTCACTACATCCCTTAAGGTCATTAATCTCCATAAACTTATCGAAATATGTTTTGAAGCTACTCAATCAGTGAACTTCCATAGCTCTTTAGAGTAGAGGATTCCAAGGATTCACTACTGTCTGAGTGAGGATATTCCTCCTCATCTCCATCGTAAATGGTCTGCACCTTATACTGAGATTATGCCTCCTGTTCTAGACTCGCTAGCCAGGGAAGCATCCTGTCTAAATTCACTCCCTTGTATCCTGTAAATTTCAAAGAGGCCACCCCCTCATTTTTCAAAGCCTCACAGAATACAGTCTCTGTCGTCATAGTCGCTCCTCACAACAATCCCATCATCCCATGGATTAATTTCGTGAATATCTGTTGCACTCCCTCTTATGGAATGTAATCCTTCCCTGGGCAAGGGAGCCAAAACTCTGTACCAAGAACTCCAGGTGAGATCACTTTTCAACTGCAGAAAGACATCTTTACACATGGACTCATATTCCTTGCAATTAAGGTCAACATACCATTCACGTTTCTAATTTTTTGCTGATTTGTGTGCCTATTTTCAAAGACTTATCTGTAAGTATATCCAAGTCTCTCTGTGCATCAACTCTTTCAAATTTGTCACCATTTAAGAAGTATTCTGCCTTTGCTTTTTTTTTAAACTAAAGTGAATACTTTACACTGAACATACCTATAGATAACTTCCGGATTCCTTTTTAAACTATCAGTCTCTATTTTTACTGTCTCTTTGCTTTCCTTATTTGCTTCGTCACTTCACCTCTGAGCATTCTATACTTTGTCAGGTTCTCGGTTGTATTCACCATCTAACAAAATACTTCATGGTAATCTTCATTTCTTTTGTCATCCTAGCACCTCTGGATTTTTTTTTGCTCTATCATTTCTTTTGTTGGGAATAAACATTAACTGTACATGAGTTATATCTTGTCTAGAGGTAATCCAATGGCCAGTTATGCATGCCAATCTTTAATTCCAATTTATATGGCCCGGATCCTTTGGCACGTTATTGAAGTTGGCTGTCCGGATTTGATCATTCTTTCTTTGGCCTGTCCTTCATCCTTTTCCATTACCAAAGTTAACTTTGCAATAGTGATGTCTGTCCTTTCAATATTCTCCTCCTGACACTTGCCAACTCATTCTCCAGAACAAAGTCTTACAAGGCTACTTTCTTTGGACTGGACGTATGCTGCTGTAAGAATCATTTCTGACTGCACTGGAAAGTTATGTCCCACTCTGCCCTTACCTAACTTAACATTGTAGTTGAATATATTACTTCCTTGCAACTGTCTGCAAATTTTTCTAAATCTTTTCCACCAGTTTGTGACCTGTAGACTGCACACGGAGTGTGATTGCACCTTTCCTTATGCTTAGCTCTAGTAAAATCAGTTCAGTCCCTGACTCTTCTGAGATATCCTGTCTCTTCAGCACTTGAGTGCTTTTAATCACTATCACTATCCCACCTTCTTTTGTCTGCTTCTATCCTTTCTTAACATCCTGTGTCCATAAATGTTTATCACCTAGTCCTGTCCTTCTGTACCTCAGGTCCCTTACACCCACGACAACAATTACCACATAGCAATCTTTGCTGGTAACTTAGCAATCTTTCTTCAAGCACTCAATGCAGTCACATGCATGCACAGTAACCCTGTTTTTAAACTTTGTGAATCTACCGAATAATTTACCTTTTTCTGCTTGTGCTGCCTGTCTCTCCCAGCATTATGGATCTTGGTATTCCTTTGTGATATAACCACCTGCTTCTCTAATGCTGCCAAGTTAACTTAAATCCTCCCAATAGCATAAGTGGACCTTGTTAGAAGATCAGTCCCATCTCTGCTTAGGTGCAGCCAAGAAAACTGTGTTCTCTGTTTCATTGCTTCCTTGGCTTATATTTGACATTTCTCTTATTTTAACAGCCTTCAGCCTTGCTTCACCCATTAATATCCCACTCAGTTCTGGTCTAATTCTATTCTCTTTACACTTACCCTTTAATAACTGCACTCACTATAATCCCCTTCTCATTCCAAGTCCATAAGTGTATCTTGAATCTCTGGCTCTGTTTGGGTTGTGACTTTTTTTAAACTATTAAGCCTCATGTTGGTAGTGCACTGTAAATCCAGTCCAGTTATTCCCAGGGTCATCACAAAAGTTAAGGATTTTAAAAAGTGTGGAATTCCCTAGCTTGCCTGTCTTTTCGATCCAGATTGATAGAAAGTATGGACCAGGTTTCTGTACTTAACAAGAATTAGTATATATTACAACAAATAGATTCCAGCTGCAGGTAACAGCTTCTCCTGTCCCTCGGTCACCCCTCGCCCATATAGGTTAAGGGAAAGATTGGGGAGCAGTTTGGTGCTTCCTGTTAACAGGATTTGCTGAGGTGATTCTTGTGCTGGTCAGATTCTTGATCATCGTTCTAGGGACTCTTTTTCACTTTGCAAGAGGCACAGGGTTACTGATTCACTTATAAAAGGTTTTTGACTTAGTTAATTATTTTCTTCAGGCTTAATGTTTTATTTTACTGTAGAGAACAGTGACAGCTTCTCAGTGTCTAAAGACTTCTTCCTGATTTGTTCACAGCCCAAGCTACTTAGTTATGTGAGAACCAATCTCCCAGTTGCTGGCAATCAAAGGCCGCCATCATTGAGAACTGCCCACTGACCAGTCAGCCAGTTATTTTTGGCTGAATCTTGATTTGTTCACAGTCCTTGACTCCAGCTAATCTGTGAACTGACTACAACTGTTTGAACTCGTAGCTTTGTAAACAGTACTTAACATCAGGGTCAGGTTCCTTGCGTTGAACAGTTGCAGTAATCTTCCAGCAATCCTTATTTTTTATTTTTTATTTTTTCCTGTATCAGCCCACAATCAAAAATCTATTAAAACCAAAAGATACTGGGCATGGTAGTATTCTGTCTTTAAGTGGAACCCTCCTTTGTGTTCAATGATGAATGAATGCCATGCAACTGATCCAGCTGCTAACCATATTCATATTCTGCCCTGTTCAGTATTATAGATTCTACAGAATATTCCCAACCTCCTGGCTTTAGTGGAAGTTCACAGGTGAGCTGGAGACGTTATATATTTGCATGTTCTGAACGTACAATAATCTTTTTTTGATCACATTACAATCCAGGAGTTTGGCTCCACGGGGAATGTTGCTGAATTATCAGAAGGTTTGAATTATTGAACTATTGAAGTACCATGAGTGCTGTACAGGTTGGATGTTATGTACAGTTGATTTTACTGTGGGCAGTTTCTCATGGGAATGTTTGCTTCCACCTGAGAACTGATTGAAAGACCTTGGTTATTGATTGCACCCAAAAACAGCACTGATAATGTCCCACTCCCTCAGTTCCTGCACTGGAATGTCATCCTAGATTATGATCCCATGTCTCTGGAGTTTGCCTTGACCAATCATCATCTATGAGTGGCCTCTCCTTTTAGATTCTTGCCAAATTCTTATCCTTGTTTTTAAAACCCTTCACAGCCTCGGTCCGTCCCTAATCTGGGATCTTTCTGCAGCCCAATTACCCATGCCGCATTTGTTCATTGTGCTGCACTCCCAGTGGAACTTGTCTCCTTTTTAAAGTCACAAATCCCTTGACGTTTCAACATTCTCTTCTCCCTGTTATACCGGGTAGATCTTGCGGAGTACTTTTAGAAATCCCTTTGTTCAGTGCTCCTGATCACAGCCAAATGAAATTCTAACAGCAAGGCATCATCTTCTAAAACTTATTTAACATTGTAAAATTTCTACAAGAGCTGTCTCTTCAAGTGGGGAGTCCATTCTTACCAGCGTTCTGCTCTTAATGATAGCTTCCTGGGTGTCTCTGTCACACGTGCTCTCTCTGAATCTGCAGTAGAGTTTGTATGTCTGCACAAAACAAGACTAACTGCATCTACTTCTGTTTTTAGTGGGTGTATCTGACACTTGGATTGCAAAAGGACTTGACCTGCACCTCTGATCTCCATTGCGACCCCTTCACTTTGGCTAATGACTAGGCATAATGAGTAGAAGGCCACATACTCCCATTTAGCCTTCACTTTAGGAAGGATGCGAAGGCATCGGAGAGGGTTTAGAAAAGATTTGAGATAACTGTGTCAACAAAGAACTCTAGTGGACATTGTGGTCAAGATTTGAAAGTGTTATTCAAAATCATAAAAGGTGAAAATAAACTGTTCCTGTTGGTGGAAAGGTCAAGGGCACTGGGAGACCAGTGTCCACTGTGGCAATTAGTAGCCCCTTCACCTCCACCCTACAAGCTTCAGGAGTAAGTCCCCCTGCGAGGCTTGAGCACAAAAATCCAGGCTGACATTCCATTGCAGTACCAAGGCAGTGCTGCATTGCTACAGATGGTATATTTTAGATGAGATATTTGAGTAAGATCTCATCAGAGCATTTGGGTGAAAAGATATCACCTAAAAAATCCGGCAGAGAAATCAGGAGAAATGTTTTTACGTGGCGAACAGTGAGAATGTGAAACCTGTTTCCCCAAGGAATGATGAAGTGAAGAAAATTGATATGTTTAAAGGGGAAATCTGACAAGCGCATGAGGCAGAAGGAAGCAGAGGGTTAAGCTGGATTTAGATGAAAGATTAGAGAAGAGTGATGCATAAACACTGGCAGAGTGGATCAGATGAATTATTCCTAATTGTATCTTCTATGTAATAAAACAAAATCAAGGATGCGGAGAAATGGGAGAAGCTGAATTGTTTTTGCAGAGGGCTGTTATGGACTTGAGGGCTGAATGGCCTCTTGTGCTAGCACCATTCTGATTCTATATGTGATTATATCTGATTCTACCTCTTTCATAATGCTTCATAAAACTTATCTCTTGCACCAAGTGTCAGATTACCTTGATGTCACCTGTGAATTGTCACATTTTATTCAATGGCACTGCTGTGAAACATCTTGGGACTGTTTCCACTGTTTAAGGAGCCTTATGAATTCGAACTGTTCTGATTTCTGCCTCTCTCAAAGAGAATGTGATCGGAAGGTTAGTTAGATGCAGATTAAACAGTGGGGTGTCTGGATGAGTAGAGTAACATGTTGACCTGAATGTTGTTATTCCAGTGCCTGCCTTTGACTCGTTGTTTTACGTTTTCAGGGAAAAAGACAAACCTGGTACAATAACACACTGGCTTCTCGGCGCAAGCGATTAACTGCTCACTTTGAAGATCTTGAGCAGTGCTATTTCTCAACCAGGCTATCCCGCTTGTCAGGTTAAAAAAAATTCCTTTATCTCTTTGATATGCATTTAACTCTTGTTTCATAGCATTCTATTTGAATACTGAACACCGTTTTATTTAACATGCCAAACAAGTGCTAGGCTGTGACCCATCTCCAACAAGAAATAATCTGACAATCTCTCTTGACAGTCAGTGGTATTACTATCATTGAATTACTCCCCCCAATCGACATTCTGTGGATATACCATTGACCAGAAACTGAACCTGACCAACCAAAGAAGTTTATAAAATAATGAGGGGTATAGATAGAGTTAATGGTAGTTGTCTTTCCTTAAGATGGGGGTTTTCAAGACTAGGGAGCACATTACTAAGGTGAGAAGGGAAAGATTTAAAAAAAAGACACGAGGGGCAAATTTTTTACACAGAGGGTGGATCGCATGTGGAATGAACGTCCTGATGAAGTGGTGGATGTGGCTACAATTACAATATTTGAAAAACATTTGGATGAGTACATGAATAGGAAAGGTTTGGAGGGATATGGGCCAGGAGTAGGCAGGTGGGACTAGTTTAGTTTGGGATTATATTCGACATGGATTGGTTGGACCGAAGGTCTGCTTCTGTGCAGTATGGATCTATGATTATGACTCTGCATTAATACTGTGGCTACAGGTTGGAGATTAGTAACTCTGCAAAGAGTATTCTCCTCTAATTCGTTTGAAGCCTGTCCCTTATTTGCAGTGCACAAGTGAGGAGTTCATAGAATACACTCCGTTTGCTGGATGGATGCAGCTCCAATAACACTGAGTGCTTGGCGCTATCTGAGACTTTCAACATTCACTGCCTCCACTACCACTGCTCAATAGCAGCAACATGTACCATCTATAAGATACACTATCGTTTATCACCAAGGCTGCTTTGACAGCACCTTCTCAGCCCACAATCTTTTACCACCTAGAAGGACAATGGCAGTAGATACAATACAATACCCACGTCTCTCACTATCCTGACTTGGAAGTATATCACCGTACATTCACCTTAACAATGAATCTCCTGGAACTCACTCCTGACAGTACTGTGTATGTCCTAACCCCATGTGGACTGCAGGATTTCAAAAAGGCAGCTCATCGTCACCTTCTCAAGGACAGTTAGGACTAGGCAGTAAATGCTGGCTCAGCCAGTGATGTTCACATCCCAAGGAATATGAAGTAAACTTTGCTTATCACTGTGGGTTGCTGATTGTAGAAGTGACCTTTTGTCTTGCTGTTACTAGTGAATTTACTGGATAATTTCAATGGCTATGTTGGTAAAGCAGAATTGTGATCTACCATTATCCCATTGTAGTCATTTTTATTAATTCTGTTACATAATGGAGTCATCTAGATGATGGTGGAGCTGGTATTTCAGTTGTTTTCTGCTTTGATTAGCTGCTTGGCTGCAGCAGGAGGATTTCAAAAGGGATCAGATTGTTAACTTACCCTCCCCTGGTACCCTAGGTTAACTCAGTATAACTGTATCTCAGCGGTCAATGCAAGATTTGAACTGACTCATTCCATTTATCACTGCAGATGAAACAAGATCAGTAAATCAACTGGAGGAATTTCAGGAGTGCCTTTCCAAGTTTACACGGTACAGCTCTGTGAGGCCCCTGGCCACACTCTCCTATGCCAATGATTTGTACAACGGCTCGAGTATTGTTTCAAGGTGAGATGGTGTAGTTGGGCCACATTGTTTCCAGCTGGGATGTCAATCCCTGTTCAGGATGGGAATGTGTACTGTATCTGGGATTTGATGACTCCTGGGAATCCTCATGGTACCTGAAGTTAGTGTTCGCAGTGCCTGCACATGGCAGGACGTAGTCACTGCCCTCTCAGTTATAGATCCAAAAGTTCATGACTGACCATGCCATCCTATTCCAACCCCTGTCCACTGTTCAGCTTCTTTTTTAAACAGAGTAGTGGGGGACATCGGCACTCACCTGGCTCCATTCTTATCCATCTCATCGTGGCCAGAGAATTACCTGCAATGGCTTCTATTCCTACTCTTGTATCATTGTGCCTGGGTCCCTCAAGGATCTATCCTTGGCCCCTCCAGTTTCCTACACAGCCCTGCAGGAGCACATCCAAAAACAGTGTTATGATCCCACCTGATGTTGTTATTCACCAGTCAGTTCTCAGACTGAAATCTGATTTGTTCATATGTATTTGTTTTTAACAAAGTGATCTTCACTGAAACGCAGACATGCAATTTAGGTTTTGGAACAAAACTGAAGATTATATACAAAAGAAATGAAGATAGAATAACCAAGCTATTTACATATGACACATTTAAATCTTTCAAAACGTGGTAAAAATGCAACCCTATTAATCTCAATAACATTCTGTTACAGGACTCAAACCAGAGCAAATGCCCTTGTTTATCCCACGTAGGGTTTGCCTTAGATGGCTTAAATTCTAAATTGTGAAAGTTTAGTTGCCTCTTCTTGATTTAGGATATAACTAAACGCAGACTTTTTCTGCTTCAATAACTCCTCTAGGGTTTTAACTGAACATTTCTGATCTGGAGCTTTGTAGCAAGTCATTGCCATAAGAGAACCTATTTTTAACAATTATAAACTATCTTCTCACTATCTCAGAAGCAATTGCTTTACACATCCCAGCTTCGGTTCAGAACTGCCTGAGGTGAAGCTCAAAACAGATAGTTTCCTAGCTATAGGTGTTTCCCCTAATCAAAAAAGAAATAAGTTTTTCTGACCTTCCAACCAGGAGTGTAATGTGCTGGTAAAATTCTTCCAGTGTAAACTAAAACTGATTACATTTTCTTCAGGACATCATTCTCTCAGAAGACCATGTGATGTAGGGGCAGGAGGAGGCAATTCAGCCCATCAAGTCTACTCTGCTGCTCAATGAGATCATGGCTAATCTAATTCTCATCACCACTTTTCTTCTTCTTCCCCAAAAACTCTTGATTCTCTTAATGATTAAAAAAAAATTGTCTGTCTTCACCTTGAATATATTTAATAGCCTTGATAGCCCTGTGTGAAGAATTCCATAGATTGACTACGCTGAGATAAGTTCCTCTCATTTCCATGTTAAATACGCGACGCCCTGCTGAGATTTTTCATTTCGTTTTACTATTTTGCAATAAATTACCAGGTCTGCAGAAATACTGAAACTTCATTAATTCCCTTTAGACACTCGTGTCACAGCCCATATGCCACAAGTTCAAATTCAAAATTTCCAAACTCAAAAATAAGTAAAATTAAAATATATATAAATTTCACACCTTCCATCATTGGTACTTTACAGAAACACTAAGGACACCCTACTCTATCTTAGCTCTCTCTTTCTCACCCATCTCCAAGTTTTCAAACTGTTTCCTCTGGCATCCAGTACTAATTATGGAGTCATAGAGATATACAGCACTGAAACAGACCCTTCAGTCCAACTCATCCATGCCGACCAGATATCCTAAATAAATCTAGTCCCATTTGCCAGCATTTGGCCCATATCTCTTTAAACCCTTCCTGTTCAGATGCCTTTTAAGTGTTGTAATTGTCCCAGCCTCCTCCACTTCCTCTGGCAGCTTACTCCATACACATACCCCCTTCTGCATGAAAGTTTGCCCCTTAGGTCCCTTTTAAATCTTTTCCTCTCACCTTAACCCTATGCCCTCTAGTTTTGGACTCCACCCCAGGGAAAAACCTTTGTCTGTTCACCCTATCCATGCCGCTCATGATTTTGTAAACCTCCATTACATCACTCCTCAGCATCCAATGTTCCAGAGAAAATAGGTCCAGCCTATTCAGCCTCTCCCTATAGCTCAAACCCTCCACCCTGGCAACATCCTTGTAAATCTTTCCTGAACCCTTTCAAGTTTCACAACATCCTTCCTATAGCAAGGAGACCAGAATTGCACACAGTACTCCGAAAGTGGCTGAATCGATGTCCTGTACAGCTTCAACATGACCTCCCAACTCCTATACTCCATGCACTGACCAATAAAGGCAAGCATACCAAACGCTGCCTTCACTATCCTCTTTACCTGCGACTCCACTTTCAAGGAACTATGAACCTGCGCTCCAAGGTCTCTTTGTTCAGCAACACTCCCCAGGACCTTACCGTTAAGTGAATAAGTCCTGCCCTGATTTGCCTTTCCAAAATGCAACACCTCGCATTTATCTAAATTAAACTCCATCTGCCACTCCTCAGCCCATTGGCCCATCTGCGTTTGTACTCTGAGGTAACCTTCTTCGCTGTCCACTACACCTCCAGTTTTGGTGTAATCTGTAAACTTACTAACCATGCCTCCTATGTTCACATCCAAATCATTTATGTAGATGACAAAAAGCAGTGGACCCAGCCGCGATCCTTGTGGCACACTGCTAGTCACAGGCCTCCAGTCTGAAAAGCAGCCCTCCACCACCTTCTGTCTTCTTCCTTCAAGCCAGTTCTGTATCCAAATGGCTAGTTCTCCCTGTATTCCATATGATCTAACTTTGGTAACCAGTCTACCATGCAGAACCTTGTTGAATGCCTTACTGAAGTTGAACAGAAATTTTTTTCCAGTAATTTGGAATAACTCTCTCTTGTTTTCCATTCATTCCACAAGCAGTAATTCCGAATTACTGCTTCAGTTTCTCTACATAGTTGTTGATTGAGGATGAACCACATTCGATGTTTAACAGAGATGAGTGCCTGACCACATTTTCATATCATTACTCTTTTGAATTCCATAGTATCACACGACTGCGCGTCTGACTAAGCTACCTACTGCTGCAACCCTAGTTTACCTCTTAGCTTGATCATTCCAGTGCACTCCTGGCCAGTCCCTACCAGGCCTATGCTCTTAAAAACTTGATGTCATTTAAAGTCTGCTGCCGGTCTCTTAACTCAAACTGGGTCTTGTTCCTCCGTCACTGTGCCCTCGAGCTACATTTGGTTCCCAAATTGAGCATTGCATCAATCTTAAAGGTTTTCATACTGGTTGCATATATGTCCTCCAGTACTGAAACCCCTCTGCTCTGCTGATTCTAATCTCTTGTGCGTAGCTGGTTTTATTTGTGTTTGGTGGCTGTGCTTTCAGATGACATTTCTCAAGGTTCTAAAATTTCCCTGCTAAGGAAGCCTTTTTCCCCATGGGGTGACAGTAACATAGTGGTAATGTCCCTGGTCTAGTAATCCAGAGGTTAAAGCTATTGGGACATGGATTCAAATCCCATCACAATTAATAAATCTTACAATATTAAACTTGTCTCAGGCAACTATGGCAACTAACATCATTATCGTAACAGCCTTTCTGGCTCCTATTGCCCTTTAGGAAAGGAAATAATCTCCCCTTTGCTGTTCTCAGTGCTGCATCAAATTCAACTGGATAACTGCTGCTGTGGAGTACCCCACCATTGTCCTACCTTAAAGCTGCAGCGTAAATGAGTGTTTCAGTGAGCCTGCCTTATCCTTGCTGCTCCTGTCCTACCATGGAGTGCAACTTCTGTCTGATGGTGGTGCCTTTTCCCTTGCAGCATTGAATTTGACAGAGATTGTGACTTCTTTGCCATCGCTGGTGTGACGAAACGGATCAAAGTGTTTGAGTATGGAACCGTGATCCAGGATGCTGTCGACATTCACTACCCAATCAATGAAATGACTTGCAACTCCAAAATCAGGTTAGCAGTTTCAATGACACAAAAGGTGAAATACTTTGGCTGCCGAAAGTCTAAAATAAAAACTGGAAATGTTCAACAGGCCTGACCGCATCAGTGGAGCGAGAACAATGGTTATCTTTGCAGGTCTGTGACCTGTCATGAGAACAAAGTTTAAAATGGTTATAGGGTTCGAGTTGGGCAGGGGTGGCCAGAGAAAGAGAAGATGTGTGATATAAGAGAAGACTAAAGCAAATAGCAATGGGATAGTTAATCAAAAGAAGGAATGTGAATGGCAAGGTAGCTCCCAGCCGAGCATAAAGGAGAGGAAATGAGGAAAGTAACAAAAAAAAACAAACCAGCAAAGAATTTCAAAACCAGGTTAGGGTCATAGGTTATGATTCAGGTCATCCTCCACTCCATCAACCACCCCTCCCCCCATTATTCAACAGATCCTCCATTTCCAGCACCTGTTATGATGCCATCAAATGAATTTCCCCTTACTCATACTGAAGTGTCTGTTCCCCCTTCGATACTCTGATCAAGCCCTCTCAGGGCAGGTGCAGCAGGAGGTTAAATGCAGATAAAAGCACACTTCAATGTGATCATATCCTACCTATAGAATGATGACCAAAACTGCACACCATTTTCTTACTGTGGTTTAACTTGCGTTTTATACAGTTCTACAACAAACTTCAACATTTCCTACATTAGCTGAAGCATGGCATGCAAATATCCTATAATCCTTATCGACCTGTCCTGCTGCCTTCAGAGATCTGTCAATATACAGTGAGACCCTACTGTTCTTCTGCAGTTCTCAAGTCTTTTCATTTACTCACATGCCTCCCCTACGTGTCACTTTAGTTCTCTGGATTGAATTTTCTCACCATTTTTTCTGACCAGTCTGCTGATCTCTTCTTGTAGTTGTCTAGTTTTCTTCAACAGCTCTGCCATCAAATTTTGTTAACTTCAGAAACTCAGAACCGGGTGACTGGACCTAAAACGTTAACTCTGATTTCTCTTCACAGATGTTGCCAGACCTACTGAGCTATTCCAGTAACTTCTGTTTTTGTTCCTGATTTACAGCATCTGCTGTTCTTTCGGTTTTTATTTTGATCAAGGCGTGGATTAGGAAATTCCAGACTGTCTTTCCAGCTATCTCCTGGGCCCCATCTCTGGCTGAACCTTTGTCTCTCGCTTCTGGCCATCCTCTCTCCTCTCCCCCCACCAAAGCCCCTCCTCTGGTACTGAGGTCAGTAGATTGTTGCCAAAGTTATGGAGGAATTTGGAACAAAGGCAAGAGTGCAGATCAGCAACAATCAAATAAGGCCATAAGAGATGGAAACAGGAGTAGACTGTTTGTTTGACTCCTTGAGCTTGCTCCGTCCTTCAATAGTGTCATGACTGATCCAGCATTCCTCTTACCCATTTTTCTGCCCTTTCCCCGTCGTTCTTGATTTCCCCTATTGATCAAGAATCTATCTGTTTCAACCGTAAATATACACGACGACTGTGCCTGCGCCGCCTTCTGTGGCAAGAAGTTCCAAAGATACTTCTCCCTCTGAGAGAAGAAATTCTTCCTTATCTCAGTTTTAAATTGGAGCCCCTTATTCTGAGACTATGCCCTTTGGGAGTAGACTGTCCCATGAGGGGGAGCAGCCTCAGCATTTACCCTTAAAGCCCCTTAAAAATCCTGTATATTTCGTTGAGATCACCCCTCATTCTTCTGAACTCCAGTGAGTAGAGTCCCAACCAGTTTAGCCTTTTGCTCATAAGACAGTCCCTGCGTACTAGAGATCATCCTAGTGAACCTTTCTAAACTGCCTTGAATGAAATGAAAATCCCCTTAAATAAGGGATCCAAAACTGCTCTCAGTTTTCCAACTGTCATCTTACCAGCACCTTGTACAGTTGCAAGAAGACTTCCCTTCACTTGCATTTCAACCCCTTTGAAAAAGGACAAGCATTCCATTAGCCTTTTCCCCACTAACTCAAGGAATCAATATCTCTCTGTAAACTGCATCTTTGTGCTCTGGCCCTATTTGTCTCTTGCCCTTGATTGTCCTGACTAACATTTTTGTATTTTACTGTTCTTTTCTTTTAATTATCACCCTCGTATCTCTTTCCCTTATCATCTTGCTTAGGTTCCCACATTCCTGCGTTCTAATTGAAAAAATGAACATTATTATGGAGCCAAATGGCCTCCTGCTCCAATGGTCAGGCAGGCCAGATGTTGGTATGCATCATTTGAAACAACAAGGTGCAGGGCTGGATGAACACAGCAGGCCAAGCAGCATCATAGGAGCAGAGAGGCTGACGTTTCGGGCCTAGACCCTTCATCAGAAAAGGGGGAGGGGAAGGGGGTTTTGAAATAAATAGGGAGAGAGTGGGAGGCGGATAGAAGAGGGATAGAGGAGAGGATAGGTGGAGAGGAAACAAACAGGTCGAAGAGGCGGGGATGGGGCCAGGAAAGGTGAGTGTAGGTAGGGAGTTAGGAAGGGGATAGGTCAGTCCAGGGAGGACGGACAGGTCCAGGGGGCGGGATGAGGTTGGTCGGTAGGAGATGGAGGTGCGGCTTGAGGTGGGAGGAGGGGATAGGTGGGAGGAAGAACAGGTTAGGGAGGCAGGGACGAGTTGGACTGGTTTTGGGATGCGGTGGGGGGAGGGGAGATTTTGAAACTTGTGAAATCTTTGTAGGTTACGTGGAACAATCCCTCTTCTGTACCTACACCGGCCCTAAACCCCACCTCTTCCTCCGTTACATTGATGACTGTATCGGTGCCGCCTCGTGCTCCCACGAGGAGATCGAACAGTTCATACACTTCACTAACACCTTCCACCCCAACCTTAAATTTACCTGGACCATCTCTAACACCTCTCTCCCCTTCCTGGACCTCTCTGTCTCCATATCGGGCAACCACCTCGAAACCGATATTCATTTCAAGCCCACCGACTCCCACAGCTACCTAGAATACTCCTCCTCCCACCCACCTTCCTGCAAAAATGCTATCCCCTATTCCCAATTCCTTCGCCTCCGCCGCATCTGCTCCCAGGATGAGGCATTCCACTCCCGTACATCTCAGTTGTCCTCGTTTTTCAAGGACCGTAACTTCCCCTCCTCGGTGGTCGAGAACGCCCTCAACCGTGTCTCCCACATCTCCCGCACCTCATCCCTCACACCCCGTCCACGCAATAAAAACCAAAAAAGAATCCCCCTCGTCCTCACGTACCACCCCACCAACCTCCGGATCCAACGCATCATCCTCCGACACTTCCGCCATCTGCAATCCGACCCCACCACCAAAGACATCTTTCCCTCCCCACCCTTATCTGCTTTCCGGAGGGACAACTCTCTCCGTGACTCCCTTGTCCGCTCCACACTCCCCTCCAGCTCCACCACACCCGGCACTTTTCCCTGCAACCGCAGGAAGTGCTAAACCTGCCCCCATACCTCCTCCCTCACCCCCATCCCAGGCCCCAAGAAGACTTTCCACATCAAGCAGATGTTCACCTGCACATCTGCCAATGTGGTATACTGCATCCGCTGTACCCGGTGTGGCTTCCTCTACATCGGGGAAACCAAGCGGAGACTCGGGGACCGCTTTGCAGAACACTTACGCTCGGTTCGCAACAAACAACTGCACCTCCCAGTCGCGAACCATTTCAACTCCCCCTCCCATTCCTCAGACGACATGTCCATCCTGGGCCTCCTGCAGTGCCACAACGATGCCACACGAAGGTTGCAGGAACAGCAACTCATATTCCGCTTGGGAACCCTGCAGCCCAATGGTATCAATGTGGATTTCACAAGTTTCAAAATCTCCCCTCCCCCCACCGCATCCCAAAACCAGTCCAACTCGTCCCTGCCTCCCTAACCTGTTCTTCCTCCCACCTATCCCCTCCTCCCACCTCAAGCCGCACCTCCATCTCCTACCGACCAATCTCATCCCGCCCCCTTGACCTGTCCGTCCTCCCTGGACTGACCTATCCCCTTCCTAACTCCCTACCTACACTCACCTTTCCTGGCCCCATCCCCGCCTCTTCGACCTGTTTGTTTCCTCTCCACCTATCCTCTCCTCTATCCCTTTTCTATCCGCCTCCCACTCTCTCCCTATTTATTTCAAAACCCCCTTCCCCTCCCCCTTTTCTGATGAAGGGTCTAGGCCCGAAACGTCAGCCTCTCTGCTCCTATGATGCTGCTTGGCCTGCTGTGTTCATCCAGCCCTGCACCTTGTTGTCTCGGATTCTCCAGCATCTGCAGTTCCTACTATCATGCATCATTTGAAGTCTGTTGTGGAGGGGTTCTTTAATGGGAAGCTGTTAATGACGTTCTGCTAATTTGATTGCAGCTGTATCAGCTGGAGCAGTTACCACAAGAACCTGTTAGCAAGCAGTGACTATGAAGGGACAGTCATTCTGTGGGATGGATTCACAGGGCAGAGATCTAAAGTCTATCAGGTAAAGTAAATTCTGCTAGCTCTTGAGAATTTCTCAGCTCATCCTAATCCTCATCCTCATCCTCATCCTCCACAACAGAACTCTGGCTGCTGGATTCATTAACATGGCCACGCATTCATCAGTACCTCTCACATGAGTCATTAATGTGAACTCTGCATCATTGATGCAATGGAGATAGTGTCACCGATAAGGGTAATGATGATTCACGTTGTGAAGAGAGTCATTTCGTCTTAGACCATGAGACATCCCAAAATTGAAAACAGAATCCTTTCATTGGAAAGGGTTGTGCACTTGCTGGGTGATTAAGCAACTGTAGTCAAGTGCTGTCCAGACATGGAATCTCATCTTCTATTGGTCATTTTGTTTAGAGTTTCAAAGCACTAATTGGAAGAGTATGGTCTGTGCTCTGCCTGTTATGAACTACCAAAGGGGCATTTTGTGACTCGATTAGCCAGTCATTGTGACTTGCAGCTTATCTGCCTGACATGCTGCTGCATTGAATTACTTTCCTTCATTCTTTGATGGGGTATGAGTGTTGCTGGTAAGGATGGCATTTGTTGCCCGTCCCAAGTTGCCCTTTGAGCTGGCATAAAAGGCCATGTCAGAGGACTGTTAAGACACATTGTTGTGGTTCTGGAGTCACATGTCGCACTGATTGGGTAAGGATAGCAGATTTCATTTCTAAAAGACATGAGCAAGCCAGTCGGGATTTTACAACAATTGGCACAACACCATGTTTGTTTATAATTCTGAATGATTTCAATAAGTCATAGATCCATTGTCATTCAGCACAGAAACAGACCCCTTGGTCCAACTCATCCATGCCAACCAGACATCCCAATCTGACCTAGTCCCATTTGCTAGCAGTTGGCCCATATCCCTCTACCCTTCCTATTTATATACCATCCAGGTACCTTTTAAATGTTGTAATTATACTAGCCTTCTCCACTTCTTCTGGCAGCTTGTTCCATATAGGCGCCACCCCTGTGTGAAAAAGTTATCCCTCAGGTCCTTTTAAATCTTTCGCCTCACCTTAAACCTATGTCCTCTAGTTTTGGACCCCTTCCAAAATCCACCATATCTCCATCTAAGTTCCCAACTTATCTTGGCCAACTTGCCCCATCATGCCTCTGGAATGGACTTTCTTTAAATTAAGTAGATTGATACTTAAATATATATTACTTCAGCTTCATTTTTTTCCCCTGGAGGATCCCATGATATGATTTATTATGACGTTATCCTGTTTTGTTGCATAAATGGTTGGTTCCTTGACATTTTGCTCTGAATGCATTTCATGAATTTGTCCTCCTAAATACTTTTTTGTTAGTTATCTTTCCCCAGTCAGAGAGATTAGCCTGTATGATGATTATATTCCTAGTGACATACTGCTTTCTTTATTTTTCAAATGTACACCCTGGCCAGCACAATGTTAATTATTAGAGGGCATTAAAACACTCCCACCAGTCTTTTTTGCCACTTGTTCTTAATTCCAATCATGCTGATTCTACATTGTGATTTTCTGGTCTAAGACTGTCAGAGTTATAGAAGATCATCTGTGATCTTACTAAATAGCGGTACAGACTCGTGGCGTTGTGTGACTGTTTGTTGCTCCTATTTCTATTCTCATCCACACCAGAAGCCCATGCCAAATACTTGTTGGCCATAGGCAAAGTTTGAGATTCTCAATCTCCTCTCCGAGTTTGTCTATTTCTGATCCCCTTACTTCACAGTTGCACCTCTTGTCCCTGAACCTTAAACAACTCTGGACCTGACCCAAGGGCACGACTGGCACCTGAATCAAAATATACACACAGCTTTCCCTTGTATCTCTGCACCTCAGTCAAGCTCAATAACTTGGAGTCTAAGTTCTGTCAGTTGATGCCACTTCATGTATATGTGTGTGCCTGGGATTGTTCTGTTTTGAATAAATAATCCGTATTAAATATCTCTGCAATTTATTCACTTAGTTTACATTTATCAACTAATTTAACTAGCCTGATGAAGTACTAGCTACCTTCATTCCTTGTATAACATACTTGGGGCTTTCTATAAGCAAGTGTTAAAAGCATTTTGTGCTGCCTGTCAACATCAGCTCTGTTCATACTATAACATGTGGTTGTGCTCTATGCCTCAGTTGTTAGACTTCGTCTAATCCCTGCTGCAGGAGTTTATTTTCCTGTAGCTAAATGCTGGCAGGAAACAGCCCCATAAACAATCAAGTGAAACAATTCTGCATCGGTGAGGCTTGTGACTTACCCTCCCTGTTGATCTATAAGATGTTAAAGCAGTATGCTTGTTGAGAGTTTGCTTTTAATTAGCTGTTGTGTATTTTCACCACAGGAACATGAGAAGCGATGTTGGAGTGTAGATTTTAATCTGATGGATCCCAAACTCCTGGCTTCAGGTTCTGATGATGCTAAAGGTAATTTGATGACCAGTGACTTGAACTAATAAAATCTGTTAAATCCGGTGTTCCCTGCACTTCCCAAAACCTTGCTTAAAACTGTTAGTCAAGTCGACTCTGTCAGCACTTTGGATTGTCAAGATTCATTGGATCAGCTACTGAAAGATGATGTCTGCCAACTGTAAGTCAGAACTGTGCAGAGTGGCAGACCACCAACATGGATTAAACAGGTAGGAACTGGACAGAACAGTAACCACTCCAGTTGGATTCAGCACTTCTCTGGACCTAGGTTACTGTTGTTGATCACTTGGTGTGCCCAGCTGGATAGGATGGTATTAGGCTCCAGTGTGCAGTGACCCAAAGATTAGAGATCGATTTGAGATGCAGATTTCTGACCAGGCAAATCATGTGGGACTTGCATGCATGACTCTTCTGGTCAGGAAGAGTGATGTTCATACTTGTGTCTCAGTGCTTGGGTACCCATAGACCCTCGATCTCTGACGAGTGGAAGGAAAGCAGAATTAAAAGATGAAAGCTTGTTCAAAAGGAAACGTAAATCCACCCTGACCTGTGAAATCCAGCAGTGAACACATTCAGTCAAGCTGCTTGAATTCATAACTGGACACGTGTCTCCATTAATGTGGTCCCAGAGGAGGGATATGATCCTATTAAAGTGCGCCTGGCTGTTTGATGTTTCTTATTAACCCTGTTGGTTTAATTTCAGTGAAGTTGTGGTCTACAAATCTCGACAATTCTGTGGCAAGCATTGAAGCAAAAGCAAATGTTTGCTGTGTTAAATTCAGCCCCAGCTCCAGGTACCATCTGGCCTTCGGCTGTGCAGGTAATTTCAGCTAATCTCCACCTGATCCACTTCTGAAATCCACCTGAGCATGGTTATTACTGGGGCAGTGTGTTGTCTTGTTGTGGGGGTGGTGATTTGGAATCATTCTGCAAAGGGCCATCTGCTTTGAATGTATATTGCTGGAAAAAAAAAGGTGCATTTTGTCAAAGATTTTTGTCTTGGCCTCATCAAGACAATGTGCTAGAATACCAATTTAAGGGGAGAATTGACATTTATGGTGTACACCAATTTCCCCTTAAATTGGTATTCTTGTGATGAGTTTCAACGAGTTTTGACAAAATGTGTTTTCTTTTCAGCGATACTCAAGTTCCATATCGCCAAGAACTATCGTTTTAAATGTGCACCTAGTCTCAGCAATTCATTTAGGGCTAGAGACAGAGAAATGACCTCATTTTGATGGTTGTTACAATCTCTTCAGACTCCTGCCTCATATTGTGACTGATAAATTGTTGTCAGATGATGAACTGCTGGCAGATATGCTGTCCTGATTGTTACCTGTTTTATTGTTATGATTTGGTGGTAGGAATGACCATGATGTGCTGGGACTGAAACAAGTGTAGTTTGAGCCAGGCTTCCGATATTAAGACTATTATTCAACAGACAGCTTAGTCGGAGTTGATGGGTGGAGGGAGAATAAGAACAAACAAAATAGTGAGCTGATTTCAGTCCATTACATGACTTTTGGCATGTTCCCTTTCATAGTGCAAATGTTACTGAACCTGCCAGTGTGGCCCAGTACAGCTACCACATAGGCATCTACTCTACAGTATGAGAAATTGCCTAGGTATATCCTGTGTACACAAAGCATGACAAATCCAACCGAGCCAGTTAACACCCCCTCAGTCCGTTCTTGAGTGTCCGTGAAAAGATGGAAAGAATTGTTGACAGTACTATAAGCAGCATTTGAAAAATGGTAACCTGCTGTTTGATGCTTGGTTTGGATTCCGCTAGCACCACTTAGTTCTTGTCCTCATTACTGACTTGACACTGAGGTGAGAGTGTCTACCCTTGACATTGAGCTTGAAATATGAAAAGACTTTTTATTCTATATTTGAGTGATAGCTGGGAACAAGTCGACCTCTGTTTGCCTCTTGCTTTTAGGATGTGGTAGTAACTGACCTTTTCAGTTTCCTGGCAATCTCAGACTCACCTAATTTTACTATAAATTAGGGAGTTTTTTTTATTTGTTGATTAGATGGGGTATTGTTGGCTCAGCCAACATTTATTACCCATCCAGAATAACCTTCAAAGGTTGTGCTGAGCTCTCTTCTTGAACTGTTACAGTCCTTGGGGTGTAGGGGCAGTCTCAATGCTGTTAGGGAGGGAATTCCGAGATTTCAATCCAGTGACAGTGAAGGAACAGTGATATATTTCTAAAACAGAATGGTGAGTGGCCGAGAAGGGATCTTGCAGGTGGTGAAGTTCCGATGTTTCTGTTGCTGTTGTCCTTCTAGATGGTAGAAGTTGTGGATTGGAAGGTGCTGTTAAAAGAGCCTTTGTGAATATCTGCCATGCATCTTACAGTTAGTAGAGTTCATCTTTCTGGGACTATGCAGTATAAAACTGATTACAGTTGTTCTAAACTCTAGGGACAACATGGACACTAACATTATAAGTCCTCACAAATGGTGCTTCTTGAATGTACCAGTGTTCAGTCATATTTGGTCCTTGCAGCCTGGTGATTGTGAAGTCATCAGTAGTTGCAGAGTTTTGAGCTGGTTATTGAGCAATGACAATATCGCTAGATCAGGCTTTGTCATCCACAGAATTGAAAGATTAATCATTTCTGGTCTTTTCTTGTTGAAACTCCAAATTAGCCAACTCGTCTAATGGATTGCCACTCTTGCCCTCAAATGATGTAACTGTTCCTTTCAGGTTTGTAGGTTCCATAGCCGAATATCTGACCTAAACGCCACTTTGTGTGGTCTAGTGTCCTGGGGACACGCGCTTGTTGTAAGCTGAACTTAATGTAGGCATTCACAACAGAAGCCTCTGTTCAAAATTATGACTCCAGCTTTTTTGGAAATAACGTGGTATTGGGTTTAACACAATGCAGAATGGGATGCAAAGTACTAACTGTTTTCGGTCCTACAATCTGGTATGTGTACATATTAGGAACAGGCATGGGCAGGACTGTGTGTGTGTGTGTGTGTGTGTGTGTGTGTGTGTGTGTCTTAGGAGACAGCCAACTGGTGACAACTAAGGCAGGTAGTTAGCAACATCCAGAGGCTGTACAAGTGGAGGACCCTGAGGCAGACAATCAGCAATACCTAGAGGAGGGATGAGTGGATGATTGAGAGAGGCAGTTACAGTCTCAGAGAATTACAATACTGATAAAGGCCCTTCAGCTATCATGTCTCTGCTGGTCAAAAATAACCACTTAACTATTCTAATCCCATTTTCCAGCACGTGGCCCATAGCCTTGGCATCGCAAGTGGACATGTAAATACTTCTTCAGTGTTAAAAGGATTTCTACCTGTCCCACCCTAACGTGCAGTCAGTTCCAGATTCCCACCAACTTCTGAGTGAAAAAGTATTTCCTCACATTCCCTCTCAACCTTCTGCCCCTTAACTTAAATCAATGCCCCCTTGTCATTGATCCATCCATCCAGGAGAAAGCTTTCTTCCTGTGCACCCTATCTATGCCCTCATAATTTTATACATCTCAATCATGCCCCCTTTTTCCATGTAACCTTTAATTCTATCTTGAGTAATTGCTGTAGACGCTTACATATCTTTTAAGTTTTTGTTATGGAAAATGAGAAAGACGGTCTTCCAACAAGGATGTTCGGTTGGGGTTAGGCAGATTTTATTAAAGTTAAAGCAGGATCTGGCCAAAATAGCTACTTGAGGGTAAATCTACAGCAGAATGGTGGGAGGCATTTATGAAAGTACTGGGGTGAGTACGGGTCCTGCATATTCATTTTCGGAGCAACAAGCCCAAAGAACCATGGATATCTAGGAATATTCAAGTCTGAATAAAAAGACAGATGTACAGCAGATACAAAGGGAACGAAACAGTGGAGGCTGTATGCAGTGTAGGAAGTGCAGGGAGGAAACTGAGAAAAGCAGTTAGCAGAGTAAACAGCAGGCATGAGAAAACAGTGGTGGACATGATTAGGGAGAATCATAAGGGAAAGAGTATAATCAGGGGAAAAGATAGGGCTAATTAGCGACCAAGGGGACAACCTGAGTGGAGCCAGAATCCATTGCCAGAGTGTTAAATGAATATTTTACATCTGTCTTCACAGATGTAGGATGAGAAGGAGGATGCGTTACAAGATTCGAGAAAATGGATTGTGAAGTTCTTGAACAGTTTAATGCAGGGAATGAGGTGGTGTAGGTGGTTTTGTGGATTTAAAATTGAACAAATCCCCAGGTCTGGATGAATTTTATCCCAGGTTGCTGTGGAAGACAAAGGAGGAAGCTAAAGGGACCCTGACTCAAATTTTTAAATCCTGTCTGGACACAAGTGTCGGAGGACTGGAGAACAGCTAATGTGGTTCCACTTGACAAGAAAAGTGAAAGAGATAGACCAGGTAACCAAAGGCCAGCGAGTTTCATGTTAGTGGTAGGGAAACTGTTAGAGAAAATAATGAAGGACAAAATAAATCTCCATTTAGAGAGACTTGGTTTTGATCAGGAATAGTCAGCATGACTTTGTCAGAGGGAGGTCATGCCTAACAAATCTAGAAATTTTGAGGCGGTAACCAGGTGTTTGAATAAGAGTAGGGCAGTTATGTAGTTTACATGGATTTTGACAAGATCCCACCTAGGAAATCGATAAGGAAGGTAAAAGTTGATGGGCTCCAGGGTAACTTGGTATGTTGGATCCAGCATTGTCTTAGAGACAGAAGACGGGGGGTAGTGGCAGAAGGCTGTTTGTGTGACTGGATGCTAGTGTTGATGTTGTCATACCGTTTCTAACTGCACCTTACTGAATGTATTTCATCTTTCAAGCTCAAATGTTTATTATTTTCACAGATCACTGTGTTCACTACTATGATCTGCGGAACACTAAACAGCCTATCATGGTGTTTAAAGGACATCGCAAGGCAGTGTCCTATGCCAAGTTTGTAAGTGGAGAAGAAATAGTTTCAGCGTGAGTTCTGTTTTGCTTTTCTGTTGGTGGGGTGTGTAAATACATTGCTGTGATGACTCCCAATTTAATAAAGACTATCTTATTGACCTGACTGAATAGCTGCTGTAAGCAGTGAACAGAACATTTGGTGTGCTGGGGTGATTGTTGTAACCTGTTACAATTGATGGGAACCCCAGGTTGAACACGCCTCAAAAACACAATGAACCAGTCCATGCCTGCACCTTTTCTGGTAGCAGCAATTGCCAGTGAGACCAGGATTGGTACACATGCCCCTTTTTGATGCTCTGATCAACAGGGCTGCAGTAGGCACTAGCCATGGCACCTTTTTGTCACAGGATGCTTGAATGGGAAACCTGTCCATTAGTGAGCAATCCCAACATCATACTGGTTCCTACCACACTCAATTAATGCTCACTGTCTTGGTTCACACTGGCCAATAGGACCTAGTCTGGTTCTCCCACTATTGTCCCATCTCTCTCTCTCTCTCTTGTTCCAGAGACCCCATCTCAAACCACTGCTTGCCTCCCAGCAAACTCTCCCCACAGTTTCGAAGTCATTGTGGAAAGGGATAAGGATAGTACAGGAGTTAACTTTCTAAATTGTGGGAAGGCCAATTTCAATATCATTCAACAGGATCTGGGAGCAGCTACTTGCAAATAAATCTACATTGGAAAGTGAGAGTCTTTTTTAAAAGTAACATCATGAGAGTTCAGGGCCAGTTTAATCCTCTGAGTAAAGGGCAAGGGCAGCAAGCCCAGGGAGCTGTGGATGTCAGGAGGTATTGAGAGTTTAATAAGGAAAAGGGAGGAAGCATATGTTGGGTAAAATGCACTCAAAACAGGAGAGACTCTTCAGGAGTATGTGTGTAGAGGGAATGCTTAAAAAAATTAGGAAGGCAAAGAGGGGCAACAAAATATCTTTGGTAGATGGAATTAAGGAAAACCCAAGGCTTTTTATAAGTTTATTAAGAGCAGATAACCAGGGAAAGCATGGGGACCAAAGGGACAATCTGTGCATGGAGCCAGAGGACGTGAGCAAGGTCTCAAATGAACATTTCCCATGTATTCACAAAGGAGAAAGATATTGTAGCTGGAGATTTCAGTCGAAGTGTTAAGATGAACAAGCAGGAAGTATTAAATATTTTAGCGGGCATAAAGATACATAAATTTCCAGGTAAAAACTGAACTGTGGATGCTGTAAATCAGGAACAAAAGCAGAAGTTGCTGGAAAAGCTCAGCAGGTCTGGCAGCATCTGTGAAGAAAAATCTGAGGGAGGGTCATCGGACCAGAAATGTTAACTCTGATCTTTTCTTCACAGATGCTGGCAGACCTGCTGAGCTTTTCCATCAACTTCTGTTTTTGTTTGTAAATCTCCAGGACTTGATGAAATGTATCCCAGGCTGCTAGGGGAGGAACGGAAGGAGATTGTTGAGACAGTGGTAGTGATATTTCTTACTTTACTGGCTACAAGTGAAATGCCTGGTGACTGGAGGATTGCTATTGTGGTTCCTGTGTTCAACAAGAGCAGCATGGATAGGCCGGGTAATTACAGACCAGTTAATCAGTGGTAGGGAGATTATTGGAAACACTTGAGGGACAAAGACTAATCAATATTTGGAAAGGCAGGGATTGATCAGGGATAGCACATTTAATTGAGCTTTTTGAAAAAGTAAGAGCCCACGGGCTCCAAGGCAAGATGGCAAACTGGATCCAAAATTAGCTTGCAAACAGGAGGCAAAGGGTGATGGTGGAAGGTTGTTTTTGTGATTGGAAGCCTATGAGCAGCGGTGTACCATAGGGATCGGTGCTGGGACCCTTGCTGTTTGTTAAGTATGTTAATGATTTGAATGTGAACAAGGTAAAATTAGTAAGTTTGCAAATGATGATAAGAAAATTGGTGGTAGTGTTGATAGTGAGGAAGATGGTCCTAGGCTGCAGTCTGATATTGATCAGCTGGTAAATCTGACAGAACAATTGCAGATGAAATTTAATCCTCCAGAAGTACGAGTTGATGCATTTTGGAAGGTTTAAGAAGAGAAGGAAATACACAATGAATGGTTGGTCCCTAGGGAGTACTGAGGAACAAAGGAAACAAATTCACACATCCCTAAAGCATTCAGCCCAAGTAGACAGTGTAGTGAAGAAGGCATACGGGATGCTTAGCTTCATTAGCTGGGGTGTAGAAGATAGGAGCAAGGAAGTCTTGTTCCAACTTTGTGAAAGTTTGTTTAGGCCACAGATGTGTATAATTCTGGTCGCCACACTATCGGATGGGCAGGATTGAACTGGAAAGGGTGCTGGGGAGATTCACCAGGCTGTTGCCCCGGATGAAAAGTCTCAGTTATGAGGAAAGAGGAAAGACTGGATTTGTTTCTCCTGGAGCAGAGAGGAGGCTGAGGGGTGAAATCTGTCTGAGGTGTATGAAATAAAGAAGTATAGACAGAATAGATTGTGAGAATCCCTTGGCCCGTGCCTAAGTCCAGAGGGCATAATTTTAAGGTGAGGAGTAAGTGATTCAGAGGGAATCTGAGGAAACATTTGTTTTCACCCAGAGGGTGGCCATAATATGGCACATGCTGCCTGAGAGTGTGATGGAGTTAGGTACTCTTGAAACATTTTAGAAGCATCTGGATGAGCACTTAAGATGCCAGGGCATAGGCTATGGACCAAGTGTAGAGAAATGGGGTCAGTAGAGTTGGTTAGGCTAAAGGGCCTGTTTCTATACTGCGAGACCCTGATAATCTTCATTTTCCCCACCCACCCCTACCCACCGTCTCTCTGTCTCTCTCACTCACACACATGTGGTGAGAACAATCCCTGGTGAGAAAAATCCCTTGATTTACCCTGTTCCTGCTCTCCAGTCAGGGTGGTATACATCCCTGCCCTCCCATGCAGTGTCCAGTATGCATCATTGTGTCCAGCAGGGATTGAGGGATGGTTCCTGGGCTTGTTACACTGCATCCATTGACAGACAGCTTGTTTGCAGATCTACAGACAGCCAGTTGAAGCTCTGGAGTGTGAACAGGCCGCACTGTTTACGGTCATTTAAGGGTCACATCAACGAAAAGAACTTTGTGGGTTTGGCATCCAACGGGGATTACATTGCCTGTGGTGAGTAGCTGTGATTTCTACTGATGTTCAATTAGGGAGAATCTGCATCATTTGTAAGTGAGGGAATGTGTTGACACAAACCCATTCCTGAACGCAGGCCCAACAAAACCGGACGGCATCATGGCTCAGTGGTTAGCTCTGCTGCATCACGGCTTGAAGGACCCAGGTTCAATTAAGCTTCGGGTGACCGTCTGTGTGGAGTTTGCACATTCTCCCCATGTCACATGTTTCCTCCTACAGTCCAAAGGTGTGCAGGCTAGGTGGATTAACCATGGTAAATGAGGGGTTACGGGGAAAGGGTAGGGTCTTGGTGCGAATGGGACGCTCTTCAAAGGTTCAATGCAGACTTGATGGCCTGAACAGCCTCTTTCCACACTGTAGGTATTCTATGACTGTGACTGACTTGTCTGAGCTCCCCATGTTGAGTCACATTGGTTGGACAAGTGGTTTCAAGGAACAAGTTAAAAGATGCACAAGTTTCGGTGGGCAGTTCCAGTCTCATTGGGCTTACTGTCGGAAGGGAGATATTGCTATTGTTGAGTGTTTTGTAATTTAGTGAAAATTGCACAAATCCAAACATTAATGTCCGACGCCTCATTTTTTTTCTAGGAAGTGAAAACAATTCTCTCTACCTCTACTACAAGGGGCTCTCAAAAACACTGCTAACCTTCAAGTTTGACACAGTTAAAAGTGTCTTGGACAAGGACAAAAAGGAGGATGACAGCAATGAATTTGTCAGTGCGGTGTGCTGGAGAGCGTTACCAGATGGGGTAAGTGATAATGTGATAGTGATAGTGTTAATCAGACGTAAGTTGAATAATATCAGTGTGTTGATAGCCATACAGCATGGAAACAGACCCTTCAGCCCAATTTGTCCATGCCAACCAGGTTTCCTGTACTGAACTAATCCAATTTTCCTGTCTTTGGCCCATATCTCTCTCAACCTTTCCTATTCATGTACTTTTCTGAATGTCTTTTAAATGTTGTAATGTACTTACCTCTATCACTTCCTCTGGCAGACATTACATATATGCACCACCCTCTTGGAAAAAATGCCCATCAGATCCCTTTTAAATCTTTGGTAACATCCTTTTTGGCACCTTTTCCAGTTCAAAAGTATCCTTCCTATAGCAGTGAGACCAGAATTGTGTACACTACTCCAAATGTGGTCTTACCAATGTCTGGAACAGCTGTGATGTGCACGTGTCAGTGTTGAACTGGAGTAGACAAGGTCAGAGGTCACACAACACCAGGTTATAGTCCAACAGGTTTATTTGAAATCACAAGCTTTCAAAGTACTGTTCCGAAAGCTTGTGATTTCAAATAAACCTGTTGGACTATAACCTGGCATTGTGTGACTTATGACTTGGTACAGCTGTAACATGAAGTCACAACTTATGTACAGTTGGTGCTTGAATACACTAGATGACTCAACCCCCAGGAAAGGGCATTCCAAAGATTTGCTAAGGTTCGAGTGAGGAAATTTCTCCACAGTGCCTTCCTTTCACTGGTTCACCAGATTAGACCGCCTCGGATACAGTGTACCCAGCTCTAAATTTGCATCTTTCCTTGGTGTGCCTGTCATGCCCTCTGAGTTCATGCTGCCTCCTGTTCCTTTGATCTGTTGACCACCCCACCCTTTGACCCACATGTTAACGGAGATTGATCATGATGAGAAATGGGTGATGAACCTGCTCCACTATTGAATAATTTTGTGGCTGATTTTCTACCTCACGTCTTCACTCTCTTGCTATCCCATATACCTTGATTCTCTTTCTAACACCAGTTTGTCACAGGCAGCCGTGATGGTTTGAGCACCCATGACTCTCTGGGTTGAAAATTCCAATAACTTGCAATGAGAAACTGTTTTCTGATCCTGGTCTTCGGTGGCTGACCCTTTTATAGAATCATAGAATTCCTACATTGTACATAGAAGCCATTTGGCCCATCGAGTCTGCAGTGACTCTCCATGCAGGCCCAGCCACCCCAACCCTATCCCCATAATCCTGCATTTACCATAACTAATCCACCCAGCCTGCACATCCCTACACACTACGGGTCAATTAGCACGTCCAATCCTCCTAACCTGCACATCTTTGGACTGTGGGAGGAAACTGGAGCATCCAGAGGAAACCCACGCGGACACGGGGAAAACATGCAAACTCCACACAGACAGTCGCCCAAGGCTAGAATCGGACCCAGGTCCCTAGCACTGAGAGGCAGCAGTGCTAATGATGGAACCACTGTGCCACCCTGATCATGCCTGATCAAACATTCCACATGACCACTTTCCTGCCCTTTCTCTCTAACCCTTTATTCCCCTACTGACCAAGAATCTATCTGTCTCAGCTTTAATATACGCAAGGATTCTGCCCTACAGCTGTTTGTGGCAAGGAGTTCCAAAGACACTGAACTCTGAGAAGAAGTTCCTCCTCATTTCAATCTTAAATTGTCACCCCTTTATTCTAGAGACTATGCTCTCTGGTCCTTGGATCTCTCATGAAGATGGAACAACTTTTCAGCATTTATCCTTTCAAACCCATTAAGATTTCTGTATGTTTCAATGAGATCACCTCTCATTCTTCTAAACTCCAGTAAATAGAGTCCTAACCTGTTTTATCTTTGCTCGTAAGACAATCCCTGTACACTAGAGATCATCCTTGTTCAATTTCTCTGAACTGCCTCCAATTAAACGCTATCTTTTCTTCAATAAGGAAACCAAAACACACTCAGTACTTCAGATGCAGTCTCATCAGCACCTTGTACTGTTGCGGTACAACTTCCTTACTCTCGTACTCCAACCCCCTTGAAATAACGGCCAACATTAGCCTTTCTGATGATCTGCTGCACCTGAGTACACTAGCTTTGTGTTGCAGTTTTCTGTGGTTTTTCTCCATTAAAATAGTCTGTTCTTTTTTCCCCCAAAATGAACAACATCACTTTATCCTATGTTATACTCGTTTTGCTAATTTTTGTTTCTTACTTAACCTATCAACATCACTCTTGTAAAACTGTTTGTCGTCTTCACAACTTGTCTTTCCACCTAATTTTCTGTCACCTGTAACTTTAGCTGCAGTGCGTTTGCTTCATTCCTTTATCCTGAGGCTGTGAGCCTTAGTTCTAGACTTTCTAGCCTGGCGAAACTGCCTTTAGTTACATCAGCGATGAAAATTGTGCCCTCTTTTAATTTGTGCAGTTTCAAAAATTTCTGGTTTGAAATCTAGATTATAAGCTATCTTTCCAATATCTATCATTGAGATTTCTGCTAATGGAATGTCTTTAAATCAAAAGTGACTATTAGGATGAATATCCCACTACTGTCTTGATCTTTGCCTGCAGAAGGAAGGTGGTAATGGCTGTGGATGGTGTACCCAGCAGATGAACATCACCCTACTAGGAACCTTCCCTTTACATACCCGTTTTCTCAATGGGCTGCTTCTTGGCTGAATATGTTCCAAAAACATATTCTGTGTGAGGTAGAGATAGTAGGAACTGCAGATGCTGGAGAATCTGAGATAACA